GGGTTTTCCCGGGGTTCAGCTTTATCTTAGCATGAGCAATGGTTATGTTTCCTCTGGAATTACAGCGAGGGTTTTTTTCGGGATAAAACGGGGGGGCCAATACCGGAAAAAAACCAAAGAAATTCCTTTTTTGGGGTCAACAAATGGAGCACGCATCTTTCCGGCCCTTCACCCCCCCCCCCCCCCGTTCCGCGATAAAATCGCCAAATGAGAATTGAGGAGGTAAAAGTTATCGTCCTCATTCTACCTTTGCTTGAAAAACTGGCCTCCAACTGATTGATCACATCTATATATATATATATATATTTATATACATGTTTGGGGACGATGATTATGGTCTCCTGGACTGAACTGGACAAGTGGATATGTCACCAGCTTGGAGAAAAAGAAAAAAGAAAAGATACCCCAGTCAAACATGCACATAATTATTCAGCCCAGCGCCCCAGGATTGTCGCTTGTGTTGGTTATTCATACTCCGTTCAGATTACTCCTTCGCACTAAGCTCCGACCTAGCCAGCCTCCACGAGTTGGAGTTTAGCGAATCTCTTGGCACCACCGCCCCAGGTAAATTTACCGCTAAGGTTCGAACCTTGTCTCAAATTTTGTTTGGTTTTTTCTTGGAACCTGCGGAGTTCCTTCTGTCGTGCTTCTGGAAGGTCGCTGTCCCCTGCGCTGCACACAGCCTAAAATAAAATTCTTCCTCCAACTCCGCGTCTCAACCCAGCCTTGCCACTTTGCTGTCGTATACACATACGTGAGGTTCGAGATTTTACAGCTTCCATCCGGGCTCAGAAACTATTTCATATCCATATACGCCCTCTCATGCATAAAGGGAGCTCCACATGGTTTTCCATTCAATTACGGAGCAGATATGCCCCTTGAATCCCAAGGCCCACATTTGCCATGGAGGCATACACGCTACGTATCATCTAGCAATAAATTATTATTATGGGTAATGATGCAATTATCAGTACCCAGCTGAGAAGGGATTATTGGACAACCAGGCGCCGGATCCTAATACCCAGTTCCAGCAAGGATCCCCCCCTCTACTGAGTACAATCCGACGCAATCCAGACTCCTCACAAATAATAACCCAAATTTTCATTGTCATTGCGTATTCGATTTTCTTATCACAACAAGCGGACTCCTGTTCCATCCGCCAATGTATGAGAAAATATCCGATACAATCGGAAATCATATTTTCGCGAATACTTTCCATCAACAAGATACGTAGCCCCCCAGTGGCATGAGGGGGACCAGTGTCCTGGTTCCAACTTCTCCAAGCTCTCGTTCTCAAATCTTTTTTATTTTCCCATTTAGCCTGTTTCATCACCGCCAGGGTAGAGAAGGGTCCGTTCCGGCTAGTGGCCTGCAGAAGTAACTGGTGCCCGAGAAAGGTGGAAGTCAGTTGATTGTTAACTTAACAATGCATTTATTAACTGGCCATTAACGGCAAAGAAAGAAAGAAAGAAAGAAAGAAAGAAAGAAAACGGAAAACGGGACCGCGAACCAACGTTTGACAGATGAAACGTAAACTCCATCGGTAGTATCTTTCTGTCCACTTTCTGGTGAATAGTCTGACAGATGGTTATCCCATATATACAAAATTCGAATCCTCAGAAAGGAATTTTGAGAGCTGACATGTTCGAGTTAAATTCAGCTATCTTCTACGAATATTTCTTTTCCCCCTTTTTTCCCCTCTTTCGCTAAAGCTCAGACATCGTAGAAAGAAGGCTGCAAATACCAAAAGCTCTTCATTGTCTTCACTTCATTTTATCACGATTTTTTAAATCTTGATATCTTTCCGTTCTTGTACGCAGTATATCTGTTCTCACAACGCGGATACTATACTGTGTATTTCGTTTAGAAGGCGGTATATTGCGAATGTTTCCTCCAGAAACCCCCTTTGGCCGGACAGACTATATTAGAGATTCAGATCTTATCTTTGGTATGTTCAACAGGTTCGCTTGCTATATCTGCACAGAGACCGACGTTCGCATGTTGAGCAAGGATATGATATGTTATGATGTGCCTTAAACGCCCACGATGATCTTCCAGGGCACAATTTATATCGCTGTTGTCTCTTCCCCCACCAAAAAAAAAAAAAAAACAAAGAAAGAAAGAAAGAAAGAAAGAAAGAAAAATCAGATATTAAAATATATGTCACAAGCCATGGAATGACCCCCTTTTAAGTATCGGAGTCATGGTGGGATTAGAAAAATGGTGGGGTTTGGTTCTGGGCGTTGAACCTCCTGAGCATTGTGCGAGGAGTTTTTTTTACAATGATATATGGAAAATTGAAAATTTCTTCTGTATACAGAGAACAGAAAGACATATATTAACAAATGAGAAGATAATGTAAAAAATAATATTGGAGGAACAACTTATTGTTTGAGACTATGTGAGAAAAATAGTTCCATTATATACATTTGGCAAAACTGATGATGTTGGTATTAGAAGGCATGGCTGGAAAAGAGAGTGAGGATAAAGCAATAGCTGGGTGCATCAAGTTCCTCTTACCCACTACCCACTTTAAGGTAGCCTTAACCACGGATGCAAAGATAAAACATAAGCGACAAAACATGCACAGCGAATTGAATGTACTATTTCTAGAAAAACAGGAGAGCAAGTTGTGTGCGAGAAGTGCGAGAACAGAATAGAGAGGAATCAGAAGGATCAGGAAGGATGAAAGCAGAGATAAAACATAAGAATAAAAGGTATAAGTATCTATGTAACTCCATAAAGAGGAAGCATAAGTATATACTTCTTAAAACAACAGATTAACTCACCCAACGCCCAAACATCTCTCCTGGTATCCATCCATCTGGCTAGGAAGAAAAAGGGAAAGGGAAAATCTTTAGAAATCTTTCACTTGGCGGCTATTCCTGCTATCGCCACGCTCATCATCGTCATCATCATCGCCATCATCGTCGCCGCCGTTCATCATGTTCTCCATGAACGTGATATAATCATACTTGGGTACGTCTCGATCCTCCAAAAGATCCGGGCCATCATGTCGTGGCATGGATTCCAGAAGGTTATCGATAAGCTCCTCGGGAATGAGGGAATGTCGAAGGTCGAGTTCTGTGACATACGGCTGAAATTGATATGTGAGTTAGCAATGACGCAACAAGGGGGGGGAAGACTTTTTCCAGTACAACGCTTGGCGCGAGCGTCAACATGAATAGGACCAATAGATACACACCTTTCCATCAGCCACCTCTTTGAAACTCTGAAAGACCTGTTCTGCCGTGTTCTGGTCCTCCGTAACACTGACCATGAACCGAATGAACTGCTCAAAGCTGACGCCTGCGTTCCGCTCAACTCTTGTTTGCCCACAAGTCTCCAGAAAAACTTCATGCATCTCATCCTCATCGTAAACTAAGCCCAAACTCGCCAAAGCAGCTGAAAACTCAATCTCATGGAGGGTATTGGAAGAGTCTCGGTCAAAATGTCTAAAGACAGACTCAAATTCTTCAAGTTGGATCGGAGTTAGATTGGTCATGTTTCTTGCCACTGTCTGGTTTTCCAAGAAAGCTAGCTTTTTGCTGACACTCGATTTGACCAATCCAAGCTCATATGCAAGCTCGTCGTATGTATATGTGGTGAAATCATTTTCCTCAATGTTGGCCTCTATACACCGTTCCTCCAACTCAGCTATAGTTTCCAAGAAAGCGTCTAGCGGAGGGAGGTTATCGTTGAGGCGTCGTACATGCGATAGCTGGTCCTCGACATCTCCTTCAAGACCAGAAATAGCAAGGGATAATGTATTAAGGGTCAATGCAAAATCATTCGCCTTGTCAGCGAACGAACGTCGCAGGGAATTTTTAATATCGCGGATGGTTTCATTTATTAGCTGACTGCGTTCACGTTCATTCTGGGTTAGGGCGCTCCATTCCTGGTCCAGGACTTCGAGTCTCAATTCCGGAGGTGGCTCATAGGCCCTAAGACGATATGTGCTAAGTTTCGTTTTGATATTCCCCAGTAGAGCCGCAAGATCGGATTTCTCCGCAACCCACTTCCTCTTCTGGTTTCTCTTATACGCCCCAAACTTACTTGCCTGCTCTTTAGCATCCGCATAAGTTCCCTTGAACGACGATTCACGCCATTCAGCGCGTTGTCCTCTAATAGCCTGAAGAAGCTCTTTCATTCTGCGCTCAAAGGAGTTCTGCATCTCCCAGGCTCCCTGCATGTTCATAACAAATTTCTCCACCCGTCGACCTGCATTTTCCACTCTTTCAAGCTGCGAAAATGCATGGAACCAATAGGCGATATAGGTCATGAGCGATCGCTCGTCGGGTTTTGCGACGTCGCAGACGTCCTCCACGTCAAGCAAATCAGGTATACCGATATGGTTCGACGCAATATCAAAAGCCAGCTGCATATTGCCCCTGTGGTCATTTTTATCCAGAGAATCGAAATCGATTAGATCGGGTCTATGGATATCAAGCAATGCGCAAAAAGCCAGTCCATCATTCCAGCTTGTCGAAAAATCTCTAACTTCTACTCCTGGATAGCAAGCTGTTTTCCGCTGACACCACAACAACAGCCCTTCTTTCGCCGTCATTCCCTCCTCGCTGATGTCGCTAATCGTAAATCGTAGGATAAGGGTCCATATCAGCCCGAGAATAATCTTTCTATTGCCATCCACTATATCTTCAGCGCCAATGTTTGTCATCTGTATCCCCCGCCCCTTGATGTAGTCAAGGCTCTTATTAGCATTCTCGAATTTCTGGACTCGCAGTTTGGGTTTGGACGCATATCGACCGAGGGATTCGTTTCCCAGAATCTCAAGTATGTGAATGAGGATAACCTATACTCAATAAAACAAAGTAATTATAAATAAATACGTTTTTCTTTTCTTCAAGGCGCGTGGAAAAGGAGGCGGCAAGACAAAAAAATATAAAAAGAGAACGAGAAAAGAAAGATACAACCAGATTTAGTTTACAAAGTATAAGGAGGAATTGAAAGAAAAAAAAATTATAATAAACGTACCCCATCAGAAAGATCCTTCACTAAGTCCTCAATTGCGAGGTCTCGAACTTTTAATTTGTTATTGAGCCTGTATCAAGGACAGTAAGTAAATGGTTAGCCTGCCATTCCTGGAAAAAAAGGACCGGGTGGGCAAGAATAACAACAGAAGGACGCGCACCAACCATTTTGTGAATGTCTTCTGCTGGACCGTAATCCATTGCTTCTCTTCCATCAACAACATGAGCTGGTTGGGGCTTGCTAAGCCAATTCCGGCTCCAGCACGTCGATGGTAAACAAGAAATGAATCGGAATTAACGCAACGGTAGACGCTTGGTGTTTTCTTCGACAAACGGGCGTGGTGGCTATAGTGATGGTAACGCTGAGAAGAGGTGGCGGAGGAGGAGGAGGATAACGCGGAGGAGGGCGGGCGGTGGTGGTCAAGGTGGTGGTCGAGGTGGTGGATGAGCTGTGGTGGATGGGGAAGCGGCATGTGGGCGATAAGCGGCGGTGGGAGTAAACAAACCGTGCCTTGGGTGCGCCGTTACGCCGCAACGAGAGCCCCGGGCCGAGGGGCTATCATCCCAGCCTTATGTCAACAATGTTGTTTCAACGTTCGTCAGACAAACAAAAACACACAAGGACACCGGGAAAAGCTATGGAAAGCTAGCAACAAAAGGCCAATTTTGTGAGAGTTTGAGAGGAAATCTCCTGTCCATCTGGCAATGGAAGGGTTCTTCTTCTACTATTTACCTTCTGCGTTACAATTGGATGCAGGACACTCCTGAAGACACGTCACGACAGATGCCACGATGAACCAGTGATTGCAAAACATCATTTTTTTGAGGAGCCTACCGTAGCTACGTATTTGCTACGATGTGTAAAACTTAACTGGGCTACATGTCAAGACCTCCTATGCATAAGGCCTGGATAAGGCCAATTGTTACCGTGACCGTTACATCCCCTAATAAATTGTTATCGCGTTTGCATTTCACACCAATTTGTTTCACCCATGTTACGTGTTTGGGCCTCGATCGCTGTACTTTTGAGAGCAAGTGCATTTGAAATTGATATTCAATCATTCATATGTTGAGTACTCTTACAAAAAAAAAAAAAAAAAAAGCAGCTAAATAAACAATAACACGTCCAAGGATTTCTGCAAAAGTAGAGAGTTGATAACCGAAAACTAACACTGGTCGTTAACTTCTTTGCCGCGCCCCCACCCCCCCCTTTTTTTTCCAAATAAAGAAAGGAAGAGTAAGAATAAGGTGCGACGTAATGTGCCCTTAACAAAATCTCTTCAGTTGAAAATGCTATAAATGTGATCCATTTTGACGGTCCTTGATTCTTCTCTTCCCACACGCAAGCATCTTATCTTACTCAATCATGTCAATATCATCATCCAGAGCAGCAGATGCAGGGGCAGCAGAAGAAGATGTTATCGCAGCAGTTCCGCTGCCGTTGCCATTGGGCGCGGCAGTGGTGCCCCAGTAATCCTCCATCTCCTGGTCCAGCTCTTCCTGCGTCTTTTTTGGTCTCCTGTTTCCTTCTCGTCGGCCCGACTCTGCCGCATTGCCATTTCGCTCTTGGCTGCCTCTCGCATCCCCCCGCCGGCGCCTTCCGCCATCGCCCCTTCGCCTTGGCGACCGTTGGCCCGGGACGTAGCGATCGATGTGGTCCGGCGGAGGCTTAGAGACATCGCTTCTGCGGAACCGTCCGCCACCACGACCTGTGGTGACGTCTGCGCTTTCACTCGCTTCCGGGCTGAGACTCCGACTATTTCTGGTGCGGGGCTTTTCAGTTCGGTCAAATAGGCTGCCTTTTGGCTTTTCAACGAAGTCAAAGGGATTTCGCCCAGCGGATCTGCCTGGGGTGGCCGATATCATCGTGAGAGTGATCGGTTGCCCTTTCGCGTTCGCGCCATCGAACTCGCGGATGGCGTTTTGAGCATCCACTAAACGTTTATACGTCACAAACGCAATTCCCTCTGAACGGCCAGCGCGGTCGTACCGCAGGGAAAGTGCGCTAATTGGACCGATGCGAGTAAAAAGATCCTTTTACACAATCAGAACTGGTTCGTGGTTGGCAATTCAATTCCGATGAGTTATCATGAAAATACCTCCAAATCATCTTCTGTTAAGTCGTAGTGCAGGTTGGAGACGCGAAGTTTGGCACCGGTTTGGGGTCTAAGGAGCAGTTTTAGTAAAATTTCGTCCATGTTTGGTTCGATCCACTGAGAATCGGGTAGAACATACTGTTCGGGTTCTGGAGAATAGCGGTCGAGACGACGGGCTCGGCTGTCACGATACGAGGGACGAGCTGGAGGATGCATAAGGAATCAAGGCCATGTATTACAATGATTGAATGAACGCACTGTTTCTGTCATCTTCGAACTTATCATGAACCCAGTCACTTTGTCGACGTTAGAACAAGAAATTAAGACGAGAGGAAGCGTGAAAAAGCGTCCTACAGATCCAGGTTGGCACGCTCTGTTCTAAAAGGCTGTTGTTCAAGAATAATAAGGGAGGTCAGCTGAAGGTCATCTAGATGATGTGGCCAACACCTGATGGCTTGGGAGGAAAACGAGCAAGCTTTGAGCGTGCCCAGGCCTTGGTTTAGGTGTGCCTTTACGGAACGGCTAGAGGGTGCGAGAGGAGAAAGAAGAAGACCTAAAATGAAGCCAGTTAACCTCTAGCTACTTCTTGTAGGTGTTGGAGCGATTAAACGAGAGACCTTTTTGACACCATCTCGAGGCGCATTGCCCCGTCGAGGACGGGTTCGAGATCGGCCACGGTTTGAGGACTGTGCAAAGATGTTAATTATGAGATGGTGCATATGACGCTATCTAGGACGCGTTTCTTCATGCTAAACAGGATCAGCTTGGAGGATCTAATTAAAAACTTACGGGCCGTTCCGCTATAATCTCATCCAAGCTTCGGTCCATGACAGGAGATGAAAAAGGTGGGCGCAATAGTAAAACGGAGGTGGGGCTAAGCAATTATAGCAAGGCTATATTGGAGGGTGAGGTTTATTGTGCATAGGCTAACGTAGTGGAAATCCTAATGGCTTTGATGTAAAGCGGCCGTACCGATCAACGGTAAAAGGTACAATGTGTTGATGTAGGAGATTGTTCCGTCGCCTGCTGCCAGATCAAGACCGTGAAGGCGGCCAGCTGCGGCAAAATATTATGTGGCGTGTCATGATGTAAGCAACTCCGTTGTCACTTTCATTTGAAAGGAAAGGAATAACTGATGAGAAAGTCTTTATGCATATAATAATTTTATTAAAAGATATTCCTTTCGGCTAAGATAAACCCTAAAATATACTCTTGCCTTACACCGTGAGGATACACCTCTCCGGGCCTCTGCTCATGAATAGTATGATAAATGTGGTGAAGCGACACGAATTGGAGAACTCTCGTAACTTCGTTCTCTACAAAGGAACACGCTGAATAACTGCCAGCTAGCTGCATACATGAATCATTTTCTAAAATCGCTCTGCTGGTTACAGGATGCTGGGGAATTTGAATAGAAGGAAGCGGGAAACGACAAAGTAATTAAATTTATAAAATTAAATAAGGAGAAGAAATCATCGCCTCAGATACACATCTACATCCACATAGCAGCGCGCGTAGATGAGTCCCTAAGATAAATATTATTTGGAACGTTTCTGTCCTTTCGTAGCAAAACTATATCTAGTCATATTAAATAACATTTCTCTTCTTCTTTCCGTGTTTAGCCATGCGGGAAGAAAGGAAAATGACCAACTCGATGCCTGTCTCTGATAGCTTTGCTTGCTTGCTTACTATGCACCCATTTTCGTTTCTGCGTATGCTGCATTTTTGTCTATCTCCATAGTCCGTAAGGCTCCCGGCAGGCCTTCCATAATTTGATGGTCCCATCCTCGCTGCCTGTGCCATACAGCTTCCCATCTGGAGAGTAGCTTATGGACCATATTGGTCCATGATGACCTTTCTGTACTTCTGCAAATGATGAATGTCAATAAAATAATGCTCCTGGGGTTCGGAAGTAGGTAATTTACGGAAATATAGACGTTTGGATAAAGAGAAAAAACCTACCAAGCTCCTCGTTGGTTTCCAAATCGTACACCCGCGCCCATGTGTCTCCCACGGATCCCGTCACAAACCTTCCAGTTTGATTATTCACAGCAACACTTGCAACTTCATATTTAAAGTCCACTTTTCTATACAAACGGCCAGGACTAGTCCCTTCAAAGAAGTAGGCAGATTTCCCCGCAGCGACACTTAAGATCCCTGGGTCGTTAGGCGAGGTGGAGAGCGCGTTCAGCTCGCAGCTCCCAATCGTACCATCGACAGTGTGCTCCACGAAAGGAAGACGAGAACGGAGATCCCACCATCTGATTTTTCGATCTTCACAGGCCGTTGTGATAATGTTGTGATCTTGGTTCCAGATGATGGATTTTATAGTACCTCCATGTACCCCTGGGCCGATTTCGAAGCTTGTCATGGGTGTTGATGCCGATCCACCACCATTCACTCCACTGCCTCCAGTTGGCCCGTACGGTGAAGTTGGAGATGGAGAGCTGCTCGTTCCGCTTTGCGAAAGATCGAAAATGCGAAGCTTCTTCTCCATTCCGCCAGTTGCGAGTATTTGAGGGTTAGCCTGCATAGGGAATGCGACGGCACGAACGATATGGCCATGTTGGAGAGTGTGCAAGCACTCTCCTGTGTGCGTATCCCAAACTTTCCTATGAGCAAAATTCAAGTAAGCCCCCAGCTCGAATGCTGATGTGTTGCAGGAGCAGGCAAACGAACGCAGAGAAATCAGCAGCAGCAGTCGCTGCTATTGTCGCGTCCGACGAAAGGCGAGCCTGCCATACTGCGCCTTTATGGCCCATGAATGTGCCAATCCTATTTCACTATTAGCAATTGCGCGACCTCCTAAGGCACTTAAAATGAAACTGACCAGTCCCCAGTTACTCCATCTCTGAGCATCGGATTATTATCTGAAAAAAAGTGTTCAGTTTAAGCAGATTTATGACTCCCCAGAGTCACACAGAAAGTACCTTTACATGCTGAAATCAGGTAGTATTGACCGTCCTCCACCAGGGAAGAAAAGCTTAGGTGGGTAACAGGGCGAGAATGTCCATGGCAAGTCAGAGGGACAACCTTAGATGATTCTATAGGTCAATTTCGCTATTAGATCCTGACAACTGTGACTGCTAGGTCATCTTGCGCCACAAGTGGTTAAGGCAGTTGACTGCTAAGATGGAGTTGCAAACCGCGATATTACGCGAAGCGAGAAAGAAGCTTACCAGACGCCATTTATGGCAATAAAACGACAATGGGATAATAAAGGAAAATTGATGATGAGGCGGGAAATAGATACAATAAAAGGATCTGAATGGGATTCCGTAGGAAGGAGTTGAAAGTTACTCTGCCTGGGAAACTTCAAAAAGACAGGATGGGATCTTGCGAAAAGACCAAAAGATGGAGACGTCTTGCGACAGATGAAAAACTATAGTCCCGAGATTTCTTTTTAATGATAAACTGGGGAAGAGAAAAAATCATCAGATTCGTTACGGCGTTCCAGTCGTAAAAATGGCAGGCGGTAGAGGCGGCGTTAGCGGGCCCAAGAGTAAAAAGAGGGAGCAGGCGGGCAGGGAAAGACGGTAATAAGCGATGAAACAGCGGAACGAAGGAAAGAAGAAGAACTAAGAAAGGGTAGAAGGAAAGGGGGGAGAGGTTCGGGGTCTGCTGAGGCCGGGCTGGTTGTCTTCTGCCAAAGATGGTGCACGTTGAAGTTGGGCAACCCTGGTGAGCAAGCATTGCAGGATCTGATAGCAGGATGGGGGCTTCGCACATCGCCGCTTGGCCGCGTTGGGACTAGTTCGACGCACTAGCTGCCGATGCAGTAACGCGCCTCACCACCTGATTTCTATATCTCAACCTTGGTTTTTTCCCCGCCGAGATCTGCGATATCAAAACCTCACCGGCTGCATGCTTTGCTTGTAAATAGTAGTACTAGTATACATGTATAACTAGTACAGGCGCATCCTGCCAACAAGAGTCAACAGGCCGAATGAAACTGCGGGGACTATCTAATCCTCGGATCATGCAAGGCCTGGATTCAAACCGGCATGCAATCGCCGCACTGCGAATAAAAATATAGCGTGCTGCGTATTCTTGGAACCAGACACTGCACTCCGCAATCTCATTGATACTAGTACTTTTTGGCATCAGATGTCTCATTTCCTCGATATATTAGCATTGTATCAAAATGGTTTCTTTTGCTTTGGCCATTCATGCCAGAAATATTATCGCGGGGCCTTACGTGCTGGCGACCTTATTTCCTTTCTCGGATACTATCTGCACCATTTCCGTTCTCAGATTCTTTGCTGGTGGGGTGGATTAACTGGGCGCTGAGCGACCTCAGAACTCTGGAACTCATGTTGGATGTTGGACTTAGCAAGTTTGGAAGGGTCTGGACGAGACTTTCCGTCCTCGTATCTCTTCGTACATTAGCATCCGGATTTACAGCTAAATGTTATTCTCATTCACAATGTAATTTTTTGATTGTATTATGAGAAACAAACCCGCGCTCAGTTTGCCAGCTTCATGGAAATATGGTTATCAAGTCGGTTTGCTGTAGTTTAGTAAGCATTGTTCACATCCAAGATTCCCCCACCAGCGGGGACTTGTGGAGCAGTGTTCCATCACTAACTCCAACCAAAGTTCTGTTCTCTTGAAGCTCCAACACCAGAATCCTAGAGAATAGTGACAGCGAAATTCAGTCAAACGAATAGTGGTTCCAACGTTCTGAGGCACAACCTCAATGCCGGACTTCAAGATCTCGGCTGCTTTGGAGGGCCACACCGATGATGTAAGTGCTAACCTTTCATACCTCAATCGATGGCCCTTTCGAATGGGAAGCTAATAATACTTTACACAAAGGTTCGCGCTGTGGCCTTTCCCAACCCCGACACTGTCTTGTCTGCTTCCCGGGATGCGACCGTCCGTGTGTGGAAACTCACCTCTACTCCACCTCCGTTATATGACTATACGATATCTTCTCACGGGTCCGCTTTCATAAACTCCTTAGCATACTATCCTCCATCCTCCGACCATCCCGATGGCTTGATATTCTCTGGTGGCCAAGATACCATTATTGAAGCGCGCGAGCCCGGGAAACCTGCTGATGCAAATGCAACTGCCATGCTCCTTGGTCATTCTCACAATGTATGCTCTATAGATGTCTGTCCTGAAGGCAAATGGGTAGTGAGCGGGAGTTGGGATTCCTCCGCAAAGTTATGGAAAATTGGGAAGTGGGAATGTGAAGTCACATTTGAAGGTCACCAAGGAAGCGTCTGGGCGGTGCTGGCTTTTGACCAAAACACTATAGTAACTGGTATGGGCGGTTTCTATAAGCAGTACATCTTGATGTATCAGATGGATTCAGACTGACTATATTTAGGATGTGCTGACCAAAAAATCCGCATTTATAGCTTGTCGGGGCAACTATTGCGAAGTATGAGGGCAGGTGACGTTGTTCGTGCCCTCTGCAAACTCCCCCCAAACCACCAGTCGGGCTGCCAAATAGCGTCGGCGAGCAACGACGGCATTATACGATTATGGACCCTCCAAGGTCTACAAGTCGCAGAACTCTGTGGTCATGAAAGTTTCATCTATGCATTAGCCACTCTACCCTCGGGAGAAATCGTTAGCTCAGGAGAGGACCGGACCGTCAGGATATGGAGTGGCGATCGGTGTATACAGACAATTACACACCCAGCAATATCTGTCTGGAGTATTGCAGTATGTCAAGAAACTGGTGACATTGTTAGTGGGGCTAGCGATAGAGTTACTCGAGTTTTCAGTAGAGCTCAGGAGCGATACGCAGATCAATCAGTTATCGCGCTGTTTGAAAATTCCGTCAAGGAATCATCTATCCCTCAGCAGCAGGTTGGAAATATCAATAAGGAGAAGTTGCCAGGCCCAGAGTTTTTGAAGCAAAAATTAGGGACAAAAGAGGGCCAAGTTCAAATGATTCGCCAGGATGACGGGAGTGTCACTGCCCACACTTGGGCAACAGCCACGAGGGAATGGATATCTGTGGGAACTGTCGTTGACTCCGCAGCCAGCAGTGGTAGAAAAGTGGAATATCTTGGGCAAGACTACGACTATGTTTTCGATGTCGACATTGAGGATGGGAAGCCTCCCCTGAAACTTCCGTATAACCTCTCGCAAAACCCGTACGAAGCAGCTACCAAATTTATACAAAATAATGAATTACCGATGGGATATCTGGACCAGGTTGCTAATTTCATCACTACAAATACACAGGGAGCTTCCATTGGCTCTTCAACAACACAAAGCCAGGGTCCACCGCCGCCAGGAGCGGACCCGTGGGGCGAAGAGAAAAGATATCGGCCTGGGGATGGATCATCAAACAACGCTTCATCCTTTCCAGCAACTCGCCCGAAAGTCTTACCTCAAACATCATACCTTGCTATAAAAACCGCGAATATCAAAACCATTCAGAAGAAGGTCCAAGAATTGAACGAGCAACTCGTTAGCTCTGGATCGAAGGACATCTCGCTAAGCCCTTCTGAAGTGGAGACTGTCATAGGCCTTTGCAATCAGTTGGATCAGACCCCCCCGTTGAAAGAATCGCCTCAAGTCGAATTCGGAATCCCCCTGACCGCCAAGATAGCAACTACGTGGCCCATTGCTAACCGGCTTCCCGGTCTTGATCTACTTCGTCTACTCGCTGCTGCAACGCCTGCGGCAGCCTCAACAGACTACGGTGGTTCCGACCTGATTTCAGCACTTATCTCTAGCGGCGTGTTCAAGCCTCCCCTCAACGTCAATAATGCAATGCTAGCAATTCGGACTTTTGCAAATTTATTCGAAACCGATGCTGGCCGGGCACTAGCAATTAGCAAATTTAGCGACATCATGACGCAAGTTGGGTCTTTGGCGAATGCTGGGGGGACACCAAATCGCAATTTAACCATCGCCATTGCGACCCTATACATTAACTTTTCCGTCTTCGTTACAAGTGACGGGAGAGCTTCGAGTCCGGAATCTGCAGAGAAGGCTCTTTTACTCCTCGATGAATTAGGCAAACTTCTAATAAAGGAAAAAGACTCTGAAGCTATATATCGCGTCCTTGTTGCGTTGGGTACTCTGGTTACAGCACTCGGGGAAGAAGTGAAGACTGCCGCGAAAGAAATATATGATATCAACAAGGCACTATCTAAAGTTATCAGTGGTGGATTTGGGAGGGAACCGAGGGTCAAAAGCGTTGTTAATGAAATCAGAAGTGCACTCGAGTAAACAGACACCGTTTTCTTACTAGAGGAGGTTTTCCCCCCTTTCATACCCCAACGTCCTCCTAGCCCGGTTTCAACTGCAATATTGTAGAATTTTTTTTTTTTTTTTTAATTTTATATCTGTGTTTATCACATTTCGTACCACGATAATAGATGCTAGCAGAAGCAACAAGCTATTTCAAAGGGATGATGATGTATAATACCTACTCCCCGTAAAGCTATTTCATGCCTTTATAATTTCCCTTCCCCATTAACATCCACCTCAACAATCTGCTCTACCCCGGGATATTCAGGGATATCCAAGCCATACCTCTCCACAACACCCTTGGTCAAAAACCTGCCTCCCAAAAAGTGCCTCCCCTTAAACCATTTAACCAAAGGCTTCGCAGCTGTCAAGCTGATCAGCGTTTGCGGCATAAATTTTGCTCCGGGTCCTTCCTTCGGTGGGCCAGCTTCTATATCCCATGAGCTAGGGGCATCCACACTCAGGACGGGTACCTGGGTTTCCTCCATGAGGGAGATTACTTTGGGGAACGGGTCCCGAAGCGGTCCCGAGAAGGAGAACCCGAAGATTGCGTCGATTACCAAATCGCTAGTTTGGAGGGAACCTAGAAAGTCGCTTGTGAATGGGACCGAGAGGTTGTGAAGTTGGGTTTTCAGGCGCTATTTATTGTGGTTTCCCAGGTTAGGTATTTCTAGAGGTATTGGGCAATGCGCGGGAATCACCGTATGTTGTAGAATTACAAACCTCGTATAATTCATTCTTGCCTTGTTTCGGGTAATATACAGTTGGTTTATATCCGTAGTGTGCAAGATGACGAGCGGCAACAAGCCCATCACCCCCTGCGCGAATTACAAATCGTCCGTCAGTTTTATACCGCAGACTGCCAATGCGATTGCACTGCTATCAAGATCTTGAGATAGAGTATTCGAAACAATCCAGCTCAAATTCCGTACCGTTATTTCCCGGGCCACAGGCTACGAGAACATTCCTTCCTTTGGATGGAGGATGAACTCGATAAACTTCCGTCCAATAAACGTAACTAGTCAGCCATTCAGAGCCAGACCCTGGACATAAATACGAGAAATTCTCAGTTGGACATAAAGCCATACCAGCCTGTGATACAGACAGCCCCGCCAGCTCCATTAATTGATCGAGGGAGAAACCTCCTTCATTCATGAGGTCCCTGTCAAGAGACGCCGCATCTTTTGCGTTGATGGTCTATGGGCCAATATCAGATATAATATATCTTTCAAGGAGGGAGACAGAGCCAGAAGTATAGATAATATATACGAACTCTGAGCGTCATGGCTGTGAGATTTCTATATCGTCGGAAATGGGTCAGTAATCCACCACCTCGTTGGATTCGGTACATGTAAAGTATTAGATAGTAAGGAAGTTGTAGGTAATTTGTAGGTAAATTGTCGCCCCGCAGTTTTCAGAGGCTCCTAATATAGATGCTAGAGAATGAATTGTTCATGACCTGCTTGCTCATGCTCTTGTTCTACAGCGTACGGAACTGGAGTTGAGATGACGTCGTTTGGGGGTAAGGTTGCTGATGTAATGATTTTTCCACATTGGATGGATCACATTGCTCGCTCTCCCTATATATCTCTCCATGATGTATGAAAGATGGTTCTGTGTTTGCTGATGCTCTGGAAGACACCTCATTTCGGAGACTGCTCACTGCCGTGATAGCTACGAGTACTGACCCATTCAATTGACTAATCTGTAAATAGGGGTTTTATATAATTGCTCAAATATTAAACGAAAAATGGCCAAAATAAGCAACCTAAGATCCCCATTAGCCTAAACACGTCCAATTCATCAGCAATTACACATTAATTATCATTTATCGCAAAAATATCCAGGGTCTGGCGAGAATCCTGTCTCTTGCGTTGTTGAATGCTGGTGGTTGGTGTGTAGTCATATTTATTCGCGTTATTATTTCTCCGTATCCGCCAAAATATCCTAGAGCCCTTGAACTTTACCGCCGATGCAATCCCGCATTCCAACCCGTCGCCGGACTTTTCGATGCTCACTATCCTCCTTTATAATGGTCGTCAAAATTCGTTTATCCCGTTTCGGGAACCGTCACCAACCCTTCTACAACATTGTCGTGGCGCAAGCGCGGTATGTGAAGGCTAAAATCGCATCCCATCCCCGTAGCCCAGCACACAGCTCTTCCTAATCCGCTGATTTCAACTTGGTCTCCTCTCTCCTGAAGATGCAGATTTGGGACGGGAGAAGAGCTCATGGGCTGAGATGTGGGAATGTTTGACTAACCTTGTTTTTCGTGCTTTGTGATGCAGGTCAGCGCGAGACTCAAAGCCCCTGGAAGTTATCGGAACCTACAGCCCCATTCCCAAGATACCAACCGGCCTTTCGGAAACGGAAGCCAAGATAGCAAAACCCTTCAAAGATATTGCGCTTGATAGGTCGCGGACGAAATACTGGCTGGGTGTTGGTGCACAACCGAGTGAACCTGTGTGGAGATTACTGAGCTTGGTATGTCCTACGTCGTGGTTTCTCTGAAAGTGTTCGATTATTTTGATCCTCTGCATAATCCCCCAGTGGCAGTGCTAGGCTGGACTGTGGAGAATTCTGGATGCAGAGGTAGTGTTAGCAACCTGATTTCTGGGTTGGCCTTGTTTGAGACCGACCTCAGCCTTTCATTTTACTTTCCATTTCAATGTTGAATCACAGCAGATTACGTGCGGATTTCTAATACATCGTGCATAATAGGTTGGGCTCGTTGAACCTCGACTCGGCAAAATGCGGACAAAAAATACGGCGGAAAAGGCTATACAATGATGAATAACCTCCCCCGTGTCTTGAACAAAACATTTATGCCTGTAGCAGCCAGGCTGGATTGAAGCCTTTGCTCTACTAGCTCGCCAAGCAATCGGAGAGCTAGAAAAATGGAATTGCCCAACAGCAATATTTATGCGCAATAGATGGCTGGGTACAAAGTTTAGATTCCTCCTCCTCTCTTACAGCATACACGCATGTACCAAGCATACATTTTCTCGAGAGGGTAATTTTCATCATTGTACGGCGTTGAGGCCTCTTTTATATTAGCTCTCTTGGTTTCGGGTATCCTTTTTATATGTGTATATAGAAAGTTGGATTATTGAATTCAATTGTATGATAGATGGATAGTTATGCTAGGTGGGGGATATTCATGTAGAAAGAAGGCTGTGTCATTCATTAAGATAAATTGTAACGCAAAAAAATGGCAAAAACAGAAACAGGAACTGTTATTGAAACAGCTATATCCAAATAGTTGTGGATAGAAGTGCAGGAATAATGCACGTAGCTTTAGATTCAATATCAGATGAGCACCAGGCAAGGAGAAACGATAAAGGAAAATATATAGAATATAGGGAAATAACTGATATACCCCTTCAGAAACAGGTTTGGTATTAGTTTGTCATATTGAAATTTCCAGGGAAAGTTGGGAGGTCAGAGCACTGAAGTACGGCATACCCAATTAGAGAGGGCGATTAGAAACGAGTAGAGCGCCCGAACTGGATGGCAAAATCGTTAAATGCTTGGAGTGATTATTTAACGGATGGCGTTAACCGGGACAAGCGGATTCTAGTTATTATCCTCACATTTCGGTTAAAGCTGTGTCTCTAATGCGGTTTTTTGAAACGTGGGTTCTGTTTTGTAGAAGACAGAATGATTGAATATTCCGTAGGTTCACTCTCTCGCTCGGTATGGGAAACTAAAGACCAGACTTTCAAAACTAATTCGCTGCGTAAATGGGAAAATGGAAATGAGGATTCCCCTAATGGTTATCAAATTTAATATTGTTGCGGTTGATTAGGTGCGGTAAACCCTGGGCTTGGTGGCCGGAACCCTGCTCCCGTGCTGCCGTCCTTGAGCAAAGGAGCATCCATATTTGTTGTGTTTGCGTCTCCAAATTTGGACATCATCACCGGATCCTTTGCTCTGGGAACGGGACCATCAACGGCAATCCTCTTAAACCCAACGCTACTGTTCCATTGCTTTGAAGGCCCTTGAGGGTCAGCTTGGTTGGGGTATACAAAGCTGGCCATTATGCGACCAGCAGAGGTATAGAAAAGATACTTTCGCATCCTGGACGGCCTTGCACGGCCGAACACGCACAGAAGGCATGTTGCGGATGCGATCACAACGGTGAAAACTAGTGCGAGGATGGCAGGAATAGCGAATTTCAAATTGTACTTGACAACTCTTCGGAAAATGACCACTGGAACTTCGCGTAGGTTATTGTCTTCCGGTCGAGTCGAGCTCTGATCATCACGTTTAACAATACTCTGTCGATCTTGAGAAAACCAGCCTTTGGTTCCTACAACTGCGTTCGCGGCAACGTCTGTCCAAACTAAGTTGATGATCCTTGCTGTGGTGTTTGCTTTTTCGGACAATTCCTGCCATTTTGAATACATAGCAAGGTTTGTTGCCCCAGAATAATCGCTTACTCCGGATGGTGGGCTTGTGCTTATATCGTAAGCCGTTTGGAATCCGCCAGTATGGAAATACATACCCGGTAGATTTGAGTATCCAACTGGCGAAGTACCAAAACGTCCCGCGTATCCGGGCAGCCATAAATATTCCTTTTGAAGGACCGAAAGATCATCTCTTCCCTTATTTTGATCCGATACCAGACCCCACAGAGGCAAAACTTCATCCAAAATCTCTTCAGAACGCTCAACACCCCAAAGCGGTTTGTCGGTATCCTTTGCATAAGTCTTGTCGCGGATACTGCGAATTGCAAGGCTGTTAAGTCCATCCGTGCCGTTGAATCGGAAGTCGACCGTCTTTATCACAGCACGGGCCGCGGACGCACAACTATACATAGGCACAGTCCAGGTGGAGCCCGGTTCAAAAACGAGGGAACGTGATCCATCGCTTCGTCTCGCAGCTCCAAATGCCATCCCACATACTACACCAATATTCGTAATATTTGCATAGTCAAGGCCACCGGCTCCCTGACACAGAACCTCTACGAAATTGTTAGCAGTCTTATCGCTGTTCGTTGAGAATGGACGGAAATAGCGTACCTATGGAGGTAAAGTTGCTTGTGGTAATATCGAAAGGGTTAGGGTAATCATCACCTGAACCCGTACTATTAAATGTGGAATTAAAGCCAGCGATAGATAGCGATAGATAGCTGCCCCAGTTTTGGTCCGTAAGGAATCTGTCAGCTTTTGCCCCTATGTTTCCTTCCAAAGTGAATGTCTTGTTGATTGCCGAGTTCATATAGGAAAATGGTTCTAAATCCTTAGTTCTTGGATTAGAAACGTTGAGGTAGATCATAGTGAGCGCATTGTTGAGGAACGCGGCCTTGTACGCCCTCCCGTAGAAATCAGGATCGGCCTGGCTGTTGAGTCGGTCGTATTCAGGATAAGTGGTATTGAGATTTACAAATCCTCCACGATCGGTAAGCACTAGATCCTCGATAGTGCTAGGACCACTGAGACCAATTCTGAAATCCATTGTTAAATTAGTATCGATACACACTGTATGGGGTTCAACAAAGAGCAGATCTTCCGACCACTCGCTGCCATGAGGTAGCGGTGATGGAGTAGTATGATTTCGAAACCCAATGCCACCGTTTTTGGTATCGACGATGAGGCCTTCCACCTTATCATACGCATTATTCAGAGCCAGAACACCCGCCTGTCGGTATTCTCCGACTAAGAACTTGGAACCGTTGTTGACAATATCTTCTGATCTGATTCCATATGACCGCCATTCAATATCGAAAATGCTAGAAACAGTGGGTGACAGGGACTTCAGCCCACTCTGGAACGTTTCCATGACTTTAGGCGGGATTCGCGCATCGTAGCCGTATGGCAAGTATTGCGTACCATTTCGACGATTTTCGATGACAACGTCTGAGCCAGGACAAGTAGTGCGTCCAATTTTGCCACAAAAACGGTTAAACCCAAGGTCACTCCTTGGAGGTGTTCCAAATCCAAACGGAGATTGGTCCTCGGAATATTGAAACGGTTCCAAAGATGTTGCATGATCAGGAACAATAGCATCATACAGGCCTAAAGGAGTGACAATTGCTGCAATGGCAACAACTCCAAGGACCAGAGGTCTCATCAGCGCTTCAAATTGAACAACTCTGCTCACAGGGCCAGAGGTTACGGTGTCCGCACGGACAAAGGTCGGCCAATACGTCGAATGTAAAGCGCGGGCTACTTGAGTCCTACTCGCGTGGATGAGCATCTGCTGCAAGGCAGGGTTATCTGGTGCCGAGAAGCCTTACCATGTTGCGGCCGTATTTTCATCTCGCAAAAGGCCACTTAAAATGAGAGAAGTTGCCGTTGGAATAAAACGCTGAACTGGTAACAAGTCAGTTAGGAGGAGATTCAGAAGGGGATAGAGGCTGCTTGGCCCATTGGTAGCAAATACTTACTAATAAAAATTCCAGCAGCGATGATTCCAGACACATAACCAATTGTCAGCTCCCCCATTTTCGAGATTGGTTTTTGGGACAAGCAAGAAAATCAGAATATCAAGAGGAAATCGCGTTATCCAGTGAACGCAAGAAAAGATAAAAGAGGGGCTGAAGAGAGCAAAAAGGAAACGAGTGACTTGGGCTCCAGGTGCTTTATGAAGAGTTACTCGATCAAACGAATGGATGCATGGTAACACGCTTCGCGTCAAGGGAAAGACTGGCTCCTTCACAGAAAGTGAAGAGGGGGTAGATGTTTGACAAGGGCAAAGACGAGATGGATGAAGAGCTGGGTGGCTTGATATTTATTAGTGTGAATTAAGGTGGCCCAAATCTCGTATTTTGGCGTCCTCCTTAATTTTAGCTCCAATCGACCCCCGGAAATGTGCTTGATTGTCGACGAACGTGAACAAAGACGGCACCACTCCGACGCTTGTCAGAGGTGAAGAAATTCTCATCCCCGTCAGCAATGCACAGCACCGACTGTTCTCCAGAATACGTTTCTCGTGTTGATTGGATCTCAACCTTTCAACTCACGGGTCTGTCGATTCATCCCACGCTCTTCTGATGCTACCCTCTGCATCTCCACCATCTTCAACAAAGGCAACAGTCTTTCTGCCTAACCGAGCCAACGTGGGCCAGAAGAAGAAAGAAAGGGAATTCAAAAATGGAGCATGTGTCAGATGCCTGCGTCCGCTGCTCAGCGCCGAATGTCATTGCAAGCCATACCTTGTTACCATTACTTAGATTTCAGGATTTGTTAGAAGAGCATTGGTTTGGGTGTAGTGGCCTTCTCATAATGTGAACTCGCGAAGACTTCATAGAATTTCTTTGGTGGAGGGAGGAGGAAAACAAAAATTTCGTCGAAACCGTTCATCATAGACATCCATCCCCCTTGTCGTTGTCCCGTATCCTGTTCAGCTGGAGTCGCTTCAAAGAAAAAAAGTCCTTCAGCGATGAGGCTCAGCTCTTTGTGTCCAGTGCTTGGGCCAGATGATTCTCCCCAGAACTTCCCGAGCGAACCAAGGAGAATACGAGAATGATTCACAGGATTGGGAGCACTTCTGGTGCGGTCTGTCCATCACAGCCCACTTATCCCGAATCAAGCGCAGAATACTCCGTAGCGTGTCAGAGATCCAGGACGCTAGACCCCAATAGAGCCTTCCGCTGTGTGATCTTGTGGGTTTCTTTTTTTTTTGAGGCTTCGTTGGAGGTTCTGATCGGCATCCCAGGGGAAGCGAGGCGGCTCTGCGATTGACGTCCAAAATCTCGGGTGGGAGAGAACTAGCTTGATCAAATACGGAATAGCGGCTTGGTAGGGTCCACTTGGCCGTGGTTTCTCAGCCGAACACGGACAGTCGCAAATTTCCCGATCGGTGCGTGATATGCGCTGGTTGACAGGTCATTTTTGATTTTGGCTTCTCCTGTGATGCCATATTTCCTCTACGCAATCCTCTTTATCTTGTATCATGCCAGCCCATCTGGGCAGCGATAATTGTCACCAAAGGTGCCAACAGACTATTCTCCTTGACACTGCTCAACTCACCAAGATCATCATCTTCTCATTCCTTTCCCTTACCCTGCAGCGTTGGGCATGTCAATTGGGTGATGGTCAAGGGATTCCCACCTTTCAGATACTTTGTTCCGATGTATCAAGTTCCCTCTCATATGTATTTTCTATGCCCACGGTTCTGTGATGCACTTAGTTTCGTATCATAGATCAAGGCATGAAAATTATCCAGCCAAACTTCCTACTGATTAGTCTCACACATTAGCACAAGAAGCTCTCTTATATTTACATGTTGAATCGTTGCGTTAAGCAATGGCCTTATATATGCTGTCTTTGTTTATATCTCATATGGTAAACATCTGATGCTTCCTTATTTCCCATTCGGGACGGATCATCACATCCCTTAAAATCAGATATATCACGCCTTGCGTGGATTCAAGGATGTTCTAGAGCACTCGTAAACGATTTGATGAATGGCGTTTCTTTCTGCAGAGCAGCCTGTCGTTTGTTATAGGACCAAGTGACATAATTATTCTATTCTACCCATATTTCTCTCCGTCTGCTGGTGCTCTACTGAAGGCTTGAAACATTTTTACTTAGCATTTCCAATAATAACAGACGACAGCATTGGTACGGACTATTCTGGACGCCCTGAAAAGCCGATTGGCAACATTGACCATTCTCAAGTGAAGGTAGTTTACCGCATGTGTAGATATCTCCACATTTTTCCTACCTTCCTTTGAAAGGAAGAAAACTGCCGTTGAGTGCAAGATATGTCTAAATGCAAACTTGCCATGTTCTGAAATATTCCATTTTGGCGCTGCAACCAGACAACTATCCACTGAATTGTACGGAGTTACAGTTGACCTTGATGACGAACATCCATTTTCCAGAAGTCTGCGTGGAACAACCCTGGGGCCAATTCTGTCATTGCTATTTGGTTCTCCAGCGAGACAGAAAAGGATCATCCGTCATATGAAATCTCCGGACGGCGACATCAGCCGTACATGGTCGACCAAAACAAAGTTCTCTCCACACAGAATGAATTTGTCGCAATACATCAGACGCGCGACTTCTCTCGTCGTCCGCTCGATCAATATCCACACTCATACTCACAAGCATTCGGGAAAATTCTTCGTGACCCCTGACACCCGATCAGATGCCAACAAATCCCGCTCGCGCTGGCCCCAGCATTCTTGCAGATGAGGGAATCGAGGGCCCACTGGCCCACTCGCCCATCGAATCCGTAACGTGCAATCCTATTTCTGCCCAGGGCTTCCTATTACGGACTAGTGTCCCGCAGTATGTTAGAACAGCATTTTCAATAATGTGCCAGGAACGCGCCATGAGTTCACAAGCCTTTCCACACTCTGCCTGCACACGATGCTGTGCGGCATCGGACGGCGTAGATCTTGATTAACGGCCAATGATTAACCGACATGACCGTCAACCTTGCGGCTAAATGTTCAATAAATCAAAGCTTGGGGAAGTTTGGTTGAGGAAATCGGTCCGGGGCTTAGGGCTGTTCCTAGGCACCCCGATGCATTGGTTCTGGGTTCATCTTTTGCTGGAGCTGTGGGCCCCCTTATTTCTGCTCCAGCTGAGCCGCTGAGGACGTGGCCACCCCAGTCACGACAGTCCATCATTGGCGGGCCTTGGGAGGTGATTTGTTGACAAAAATGATGATCAACTTCTTTTTCTTCTCTCCCTCCAACCACATGAGGCCATGCCGTTGAGACAAGAAAAAATGTGCTTTACTACGTAAAGTTGACATATAAAATTTGGCGGCGAATGAGGGGACGAAAAGCTCGATTTGATATCTTCGATTTTGCTCTTCTTGTTCATTTTTTTTTTCGCGCTGAATGGCGTCCCACCTCCTCTGCTGGGTTGGACATGGCCTTCGTAACAACTTTTTTTTTTCTCCGAACGCAAAACTTCTCACACAGACACGCTTGCTGATTGGCCATATTTCTCGGTTCTTGCAGATTTAGTTGGGGAAAAGTAGAGGCCTAACGAGACTAAGGCGCGTTTCAATATTTTGTCACAGCATTCTAGCCCTTTTCCATTAAGCTGATTGTTCCTCTCTTGCAAGGATTTGGCTCTTTTTGGGTTAGTTGTTGTGGCCGTTAGAAAGTTTTTTTGACTCCCCAGGTACCGGGGGATGTTGAACTGTCCATCAAAAATTTGCCACAGAGCTCAGCCAGAGTAGCCGTTTTTGATCTACCCAGCGAAGCTTCCACTAGACATTTTGCAAATGGGGAAAAATCAAAAAGTTGGCCCTCAGTTACCTACCAATCACGCATATGACAGTTACCGTCGGGATTAATTCAGGTTTCAAGGATCGTCACTTGCCCGTGGACGGTTCGTGTTTTTCCGGATTATTGGGCCAGAACAATCCACTTCCCCTCAGAAGCTTGGATGGCCCAACTTGATTGGAAGAACGACATGTGCATGTGTGCATCGATTAATATCAAGTCCACCGTGATCAAGCTTGATATGAAAATAAAGTGGGAAGCTGCAAGGTAAGCGCATTTTTAGGAGAGAAAAGGGGGGGTTTTGGAATTGGGTACGCGTTGCTACTTTCTTTTCAGCTGTTTGACTTTTCACGATTCGTTTGTTGAGGTCATCGGGGTTTAAATTTAAAATCAACGAGGCCTGTATGATCCCCAAAAACTTCCGTTATCAGATCAAGCGTTTGAGTGGGCTTGTAACTTTATCTCTCTCGATCGTTCGCGCTATGCCCATGTTGTAAGGGATAATGTCCATCATACAGGAAAAGAAAGAAAAAGTTGATAACTCCAAGATAAAAAGGTTCGCGTCTGTTCCAGGTAACTGAGATGGTGCATACTTGGGACTTAGAAAACTCTCGAAGCGAGATCCATTAAGTATTTTGATAATAAAATTTAAATTTTTTCTGGGAGCGCACACAAACTTTAACCAAAAAATGCGATGCGACTATCCTGCACATTTCTGCAACAACGGCAGAGTGGTTTCGAACTTACGATGGTGAACATGAGCAGCGACGAGTATCTGGGCCTCAGGAACAGAGCCAGCACTTTGGTCTGTGTCTTTGATCACTAGATGCAACAACCTTCTGCCCTAAGACCCTTCCCTAAACGGCCCCCAATCGGCCCCCAAACTCCAGGCTTCACCCGCCCAAGGGTAAACCTAACCGCTTAACGTCCCATTGCCACTAACTGCTCCGGCCAGCGTAGCATCACCGCCAACATTGCCCACAGTCCTTCTCTTCCTGTCCTCTCCACAACCTCAACAGCCTATCCAAACCATCTCCACCATCCATCCATCTGTTCATCTCCCTATCTCCTTATCTCCTTATCTCCTCGTCTCCTCGTCTCCTCGTCTCTTCATTTCTTCGTCTCTCCATATCTCTCGCACTCGCACCCGAACTCGCTCTCTCTCCTTCTCCTTCTCCCCATCTCCATTGCGAGGTCGCCAGTTTCTCCTCCATCGTCCTTCGCTTCATCCCCTCCTCCTACCAGTCCGTCCAATTTCCGTACCCTCCATCACCTCGCCCCTTTAGATCGACCACTGAGCCATCGCTCCAGCCAACCACAGTCGCTGCGCTGCCAACCCTGCACTCTAGCGGCGCAGAAGACTGGCGACTGCACCCAGACAGACACTTCCAATCACACTAGCTAGTCTTAGCTGAAGCAGCCAAGCAACAGCCTGCCCTGTCGTCTGTTCTGTGCTCCCCGTCCAGTCGTCACTGTACCTTTCTCCGGCCTTTTCGAGCTCGTCTCTTGCTCGTCGCCTCCAAGCTTGCGCGACTCCAGCAGAACCGACCATCGCCTCTCCCGAATCATCAAACAAGCCCATGAAAAAAATCTTCCGGCGCACCTTATCACTATTCCGCGATTCTACCAATAACGCCCGAAAAAATCAACACTTCGCGCATCTTTATTTCGACCTATTGGAGATCCCTCTCGTAGAAACCCGTTCTTCTTCTGGCCCTGGGCCAACCTTGGAACCCTTGTTAGTAACTATTTCTTATTTCCTTTCATCTTCAAACCTGACCTTACTCTGTCCGTTTTTACCATCGATTCTCTGGGCTACGCAAAGTTTTTCTCCCATCTTCTTGACTGCTTTAGCCTTCAATCGCGGGTCATATTTTCCTGTTTCTATTGTTCTTGTTGCGCCGTTATTCTTGCGCCCATCCTATCTCATCCATCGCCCTGGGCCCCTCTCTACTTCAAAAAGAAAGGCCAAAAAAAGAGTGATAGGGCCCCTGCACAACCTTTTGTCAGGGTAATCCCCCAATCTTCGTCGCTCTATGCCGTCTCGCCCTCGATTCAATGTTGAGTTCGAAGCCTTAGATCGTGGCATCTTTCCTTGCCTTTCCGTTCTACAGTTTGCTTCCGGTTTTATCCTCATTGCGTCGCTCTATTAATTTGGCTAATTTCTTTGCGTGCCCAACACATCGCGATTGTATCTCACCTTACCCGTACCTCAACATCCTACAATTCCATTTTGTTCAATCCACCACTCGTTCCCATCGCCATTTTTCGTGTTATAGAACTAACATTTGCAGAACGCGCTGCTTTGCTTAGATCAGCCTCTTCCTCAAGCGATGCACATAAATTCATAGCTTATTTTGTCACACGAATCCCACGCTAACGGGCCTTCCATCTCCTTTTCGCGTCGACTCTAGCCTTCGATCCTCCTCGAAGGGATTTTTTAAGCGTCACAGCTTCTAACCATCACATCATACTCCTACTGTTTGGCAGCCGTGCTTGAGACTATCGACTCTACGCGACCCGCGAGGCTTTCGCGAGGATCGTTCCAAGCGATAAAAAGGGAGGATTCGACTTCCCTTTGCGCCAATACGTATCTTACCTAAAAACTTCTTTATATCGACTATGAGCAACGGTCAGTTGAACCAACCCGGCGCAATGTTCAATAGGCCCACGCTGAAGCGCAACGGGTCCAGTTCCGCCGCGATTTCCCACCTTCCAGTTTCCACACCTAACGGCACATCAAGCATACACAACACAAACATACCCGAGCCGTTTTCCCCTGTATCATCTCAACCACCTGCCTCCGCTTCCGCAGCCTTTAATACCATGCTTCCACCGATAGGCCAACCCTCATTGCGTCATGCAGAGATGGATGCTGCTGGGAATGGCATACCAAACATGAACGGCTTGAATGGAACGTATCCCACAAAGAACGTTAATGGCGGCACTGTTTCTGTCCTTTTGCGACGATTGGCGCCGAAATACAGCAACGAATTACTACATGGTCTACTTACATTTTCCCAACACTTAGTCGATTATGCCTTCGTTCCTAACGAACACCCCGAAGACGGCCAGTGTCGCTCTGCGATCGCGCGATTTGAAACGAGAGCTGCAGCAGAGGAAGTTCGAAACGCCCTCCATGGTAAACTCAACAGCACGGGTGAAGCCAATATGATTGTTGAAATTCTTAACACCCCTCCAGCCTCACTGGTGCGCCGCAATACAATCGATCATGCGTCAACTCGTACCCTGTCAAATTCTACATCCCAAATCAGTGCTCCGTCGGTCTTAACGCGCCAGGCGTCGCTCTTTAATGGTGCTTTCCAGGCGTTCGAGAGAGCAGGGAATCATGAGCTTCCAGCGCCAGAAGGGAATTCCCAACTCACATCTATATTTTCCCCTCAGTCGCCTATCGAAAATTCAGTCAATGACCGCTCTTACGGGTCTGGCAAGATGATGATCAAACAGGATCCGGACGAAGATACCGGTGACTTGCTGAATGACCCTGTTGGGTATGCGCGGAATTGCCCTTCTAATCCGGCAGCTTTACAGCGACGCTTGACCAACCCGCCAGTCCCGCTATCACATTTTGCCAACCTCTCGTTATCAACAAATGTTAGCAACCCAATGCAGCAATTGAGTGGCGCTCGATCAAACACGAATATTGGAACTCCCACCAGTACAATACCGCCCGGCCTTTCATCCACGATGGTACCAAATCCGGGATACATGCATGCTTCTCAGTACCATCGGGTAAATTACCCACCCGTCAATCCGGCCGATCAAAACCCTCCTTGCAATACTTTATACGTGGGCAATCTCCCACATGATACCTCAGAAGACGAGCTGAAGGCTTTGTTTACCAAACAGCGTGGATACAAGCGACTCTGCTTCCGGAATAAGCAGAACGGACCTATGTGCTTCGTTGAATTCGAAGACATTTCTTTTGCGACTAAAGCCCTGCACGAGCTGTACGGATATCAACTTTCCAACAGTGTCAAAGGCGGCATTCGTCTTAGTTTCTCTAAAAACCCGCTTGGGGTTCGCCCAGGGCCTCCCCCCGGGATGAACGCAACACCCAATACTAATGCTGGGAAAACAGCAAATGGCACAGGAATGCCACTTTTCGCGACTGCGAACACCTTCCCACCTGGATTGGGCATCCCTCCTGGTTTTGCAAATGCAAACAATTCAATCAATCCTATGGCTGGCATCAACAACAACTCTGCGGCCAACAACGCCTTTAATGGGCACTCAACGCCGGGACTCGGAATGAACCCTGGCGCTATTGGAACATCGCGTTCGCAAACTCTTAATGGTGGACCCGTTGGTGGAATGGCAGGTCCAAATATGGCAAACATGAACGTCACTGCTTTTGCTGATTTCATGGGCCGATAGATCACCGCATATAAAACGCATCTATATAATGTTTTGCATGTGTGATGAGTACCGGAGCGTCTGGCGTTTTGGAACACTGGACTCTACATGTTAGACCGTCATGCTAGGCTGGCCTTTGCCCCTGTTGATGTTTTCGTCCATGTCTTCCCCCCCTCTTTTTTTACATTTCCTTTACCATTATCAGATTATCGTATTTATTGTTCTTCCGTTAATTCCCACTTTTGTTTTATATTTGCATCGATATTTCTTGTTTGTCCCCTTGCTATATTTTGTCATTTTTTCTCGGGGTAATTTGACCACTGCATGGAATCTTGAAGGAAAAGCGGCTATATTTTTTGTTCGGGATTAGCGAGAAAATGCATACTGTTCTGGCGCATTTTGCTTGTGCGCACTTGGGTTCTACTAGAACTCGGGAGGACTCATTCTCGTTCTTATTTCCCCTTTTTTCCGTATCCCATTTCCCATTTTACTTTTATCTCCCATCCTTTGCGTCTACGTCGCACTACCAACATCATTGCCTCCTTGTGTCCATTTGACCCCTGCCTGTTTTCCGCTTCCCAACTTGTTCTTTCCTACGTCTGCTTCATTTATTTTACTTGTTTCTTCTGAATTGTGTTCCCCAATTTACACGTACTCTCTTCTTTCCACCCATCATTTGAAGCGTGTCGACATAATTTTTTTGTGGGGTATTTTTCTTTCACTCTTCCCTGCATATATATTTTGTGTTCCCTTCGTCCTCCTTTCACTTCCCTCTAAAGAAAAGAAAAAGGAAAAAGGAAAAGAACCATTTTGATCGATATGCCCATTTGCAAAGCAATCATGATAAGGCGTACGTATTAAACGATTGTTTTAAGTCCGTTTATTGGCTTGGGAAAATGGGTGTCTGCAGGAATGTCTAAAGGAATGTTTGATGCGGAAACATTTTTCGTGGTGGATTCATGGATATTTTCTTTCCTTTTCGTACACCCATTTTTTCCATTTTCCTATCATCCCTTGATATTGTTGCTAAAAATTTCTCTGCAATGGTTCGGTGTCTTTTATCTCACATTTTTGCCGGTTAATTTTGTGACCATATCTGTCCCTATCTGTCCAGTTGTATTCCCCTACGGCACTTGTTGTTTTTATCTTTCTTTTCTTTTTCCTTTTTATTTGTGTGCGTGTGAGTGTGTAAGTTGCTATTTACGCCTCTCCTGCTGGCGGGCATCCCATTTTATTTATCCTTGTCCCATTCATCTTACCTAGCTTCTTTTTATAATACTTTTGAGAAATCGTTATTATACAATCTTTTCCCCCAAACCCTTGCTCACAAATCCCCTTTTTAAGGATTTTCTATACTCGCACCAGTCGCGCCTCTTCATCTTCAATTTTTAAATTCTCGTTTTTGCCGCTGCCCTTCTCTTCATGGAGTCAAGTACTCGCCAGCGGCTTGGTTATTGTATCGTCTCTCCTAGACAAGCGATTTTCCCTCTTAAAGGAAATGGAGTGAGGTACAGAGACCTGTTGGATTGTTGATTTCTCCTTCCATTTTTTTTATCTTCGTGTTCATAAATTATGGATCCAGACTACTTATATTTTCAACTTCCCCGCATAGCTAGGCTTTCTGGCGAAAAATCTATACAGAGATAGGATACATGAAACGTTCTACAGCTACTGTTTTACTCCCATTTATCTGACCATCTTCGGCCTCTCCTTAATCAATTTGTGCGTCAAATTTTTGTGACTTGGGATTTGGCCGAATTTGGCATTAGGCCGCTAACGGAGTCACGCTAGTCCACGTGACGTTCGGACTTCGAAGCAGAAGAAAAAAAAATTGCTGGAACAATTTTTCCCAGACGAAGCTTCTGTCCAACATCGCTGCAACCTGAACTTACAGCCAGCCAAAATGCTCTCTTAATTCCCCCTCTCTCGTCTTCATTGTTGTAGACCGCTCTCTTCAACCCCCCTTGACCTCTCTCCTCAACAGTCACATTGACATATCGATCACAACCAAGATGCCTCCTCGGCTGGGGTTACTACGACGGCTTTCTCACAGCCTCGTATCCAATCCCTCGCCCTCTCAATCACAAGCCTCATTGTCACTCCCCTTCAGAACCCCCGCATCCACATCCTCTAACACCACCTGCCAATGCCGACTACAACATGGCGCTGCAGCTTCCCAAGCCCCGGCCGAGCCCCAAAACGACAAAGAAGAAGAAAAGCGACGAAAAGTCCACCTGTGGCTAAAAGGCCCGGGCTCAGTCTTTAAAGACCCAAAACCGGGCAGCACGAACTACATCAACGCCTACAGCAATCAGGGCGTGCTCATCCGTTCCAAGGAGGGCGGCAAAGACACTGATGCGGAGACGCTGGAAGACCTCAGACCATTCCCGCTTAATCCGACGTTTGTGAGCGAGTCGGTGCTCAGTGAGGATTTAAGGAATGAGATCCATAGACAGGTTGTCGAGTATGGCAAGTCGCCCAGGGAAGTTAGTGTTATGCATGGGGTGGATTTGAAAAGAGTGGCGGCTGTGGTGAGGTTGGTGGAGCTGGAGAAGAAATGGGTTGCAGAGGTATGTATTATTTTTATTATTATTGTTATTCACTTTCATTCTGTTGGTTTCACCCTATTTGCACCATTATTCCCGGAGTTTCCTACTCCTTCATATCTTGTCATGATGAGCAAACAAATTCGATTAGTCTTGAAGACTCCTAAATTCCCATTCTGGAGGATGTTTACTTCAAATTTAAATTACAACTCTCTGAATCAAACCCTTCAATTATCTACAATTTTGTGGAGCGTCCTGGCTATAGCCTGTTGGAGCAATTGGAATGCAGCCTTCCTAACAACCAACGCAATAGAACAAACCTCGAGCGATCCCATACGCTCGCGCCGTACACCAAATGATCCCCACTACACCATTAAAGAAATATCCCGAGCGGCCTATTCCCCACGAATCCATAAACGATCTCCCCGTCCACCGACTCACAGAGGCTCAAATTTTCTACCCTGTCTCTGAATCCCGGCAATTCACCCGTGTCGACGCGGGACGCGTCTTCTCTGCTGCACCCGCCCTCCCCCACGCCGCCGCCAACACACCACATAATACCCCCGAAGCCATCGAAAAAACAACGTGCAACCCGCACATGATTGAAAAAGTCGGCAAACCAAACGACGAGGAAGAAGTGCTTCAACCCGCAGACTACCGCATCCCACACCCTCACCTTGTCGCCTTCGCACACGACCGGTTCCAGAAACCCGGCGAGTTCCGCGAGCACAAGAAACGCTTCGCGGAACGGATTGAGCGGGAGACGGTAGCGCTGAGGAAACGGCAGGAGGCTGCAAAGGCAAGGGAAGAGGCGAGGATAACCCGAGTCCAACCGGAGGGAAGCCGCTTCGAGTTCCGCTTCAGAGATGCGGTGGTATCCCGCGAGACGACGGGGAAGGATGGCCGTGGAACAACTGCTCCTGGTCGCCGGTATGGTGTGCCTAATTACGAGCGGAAGAGAGGCACGATCAAGATACCCACTAAAGTGGAGGTGTAATATAATAAAGAAGTCTTTCTTCCTCCTTCTTCTTCCTGTATTCGGGAATTCTGAGCAAGTATTGTCTATCAGATCTTCAATTGCCTGTACATACAAAATTGTGTGTACTGTATTAAATCATTGTGCGCCCCCTTTGCGCTGTACAATACCTTTTGTGCTCCCTTTTTCCATTCCTTTCTTTCTTTTTTTTTTTTTTTTTCGTATTGGTATTGGTATTGGCGCCTGTTTCGCAAGCTGATTAGGCTTTTGTATTATGATATATTATTTACTATGCATCCATCAAGGACACACACGCACGGAATCCAAGAGGATGATTGATGATTGATGATGATGATGACCTGGCGACACTTCCCTACTATGTACCGTACCGCCCAATATCGATTTCTCCCTCAGTTAAATATTGCCAATTGTGTTGCCATGTGTGACAAAGTATAATGTTTAAACATTGTATATATACGTATAGATATATAGATTTATATATTGACTTTTTTGGGGGGGGGTTTCGTTTTCCTTCCTTTTTGTTGGCCCCCTTTAAATCCTCTCGTATTTAGATATATATATATATAGTTATAGAGTTATATATGCCCACGGCATGCACTCAATGTCCAAAGAAAAGCAAAGAAGTCCCAAGGGGCAAGGGGTGGGCGATTAATTAATTTAAGAGCGAACGCCAGAGCTGAAGTTAATGCGAGAAGTATATAATAAATAAATCAAAGCTAGGCACAGGGAAGATACATTAACAAATGACAGTATTAGTATTATATACATATCAAGAACAGATTCCCGCACGACGCGCACAACTAACTAGATAATGTATAAATAAGAGGGACTACGGAAAAGCCAAAATGAAAGAAACCGAGAATAATAATCGATTATTCACCGCTGCCATGGTTTTTAGTTACATGAATTTTTTTTTTTTTTTTAAAAAAAAAAAAAAAACAAAGGTAATAATTTATCTCAAATCACTCTCTTTCGCTTGATAAATTTGAGAAATATATAGATTTATTATTGTTATTTTTTTTTTTTTAAAAAAAAAAAAAATAGCCAAGGTGCAACCCGCTCGCCGAAAAAGGATGAAAAAGGAGCGTTGCAAAAAAAAAAAAGGGCGGGGGGAAGGGGGGAAAGCTTGAGCCTTTCCCCTCCCTTCCAACAGGGATTGGATAGATACATAGATAGATAAAGGCAATCAAAACAGGAAAATAACAAGTAAAATCATCCATGAGATGATGGGGGCACAAAAAAAAAAAAGAAAGTTGCTCCCAACACCAAACGTCACCACCATCATCAATACAAATGAGAAATGTCAAAAATGAAGGGAAGGAAGAAGGTGGGGAAATAAGTCAATTCAATCAATTAAAAAAAAGGGGGGGAGGAATTAAGAAGGAATAAATTAAATGACACTAACAAAAGGGGAAAATGTATTTCGCCCTAGCTCCCACTGTCTGTATCTTTCTCATCCCTATATATATATATATCTCTCTCTGTCTGTATGTATGTTCGTGTCTGTGAGTGAGTGTGTGTGTATGTAGGTACGCTCTTCAACACACACTCGAGAACAGGTCATGGAAATTTCCACGCTCGTTAAATCCTTGAGTTCGTATTCCGATTCACTCGCTTGAAACCGGTTGAATACGTTCCCGCGGTACCTCTCTCACCAGGGCTCGTTGCATCCGGCTTGGAAGTTCTATTAGCAACGCCTGCTGCTGCTGCTGTTGCTACTGCAACTGGGGATGAGGGGTTGTTGGATCCAGACTCTTTCCCAGAAGCAGATAATTGCTTGGTAGGACTGCTAGTGGCGATCGCTGCTCCGTCCCGATTAGCCGAGGCTTCCTCATTGCCGTTATTAGAATTACGGTTGTCGTTGCTACTGCTGCTACTGTTATCGCTGCTGGTCATGGCCTTCACGTTGCCGCTCAAGTGGGTGATATTCGGCTGTGACTTTCTGCGTTGGAGAGCAGCGGTCTCTGACTCTCGGCCGCCGGGGGGTTCAAGGGAAGTTGTAGAAGATGTAACCGGCACTGGACCTTCCGGATTTTGTTGCTCGTCGAATTTCCTCCATTTCCTCCATCCCTCGAAGTCAATTAGGGCTTGCATACACCCCCATTCAGTCACTTTTTGTTCTAGCCATACAATATTCACGGGCTATGGTGCGGTTTCAATCGATGTCAGCATGGGATATTTCACACGGAATAAAGATGAGTGAGGCAAGGCAAAGACAAAGGGGATGTTTTATAACAGTAGTCCACTTAAAACAAGACAGAAAACAAGGGCATGAATACTCTACCTTGGTCAAAAAATCATTGCAGCCTGCAGCTAATGCCTCATTTCGGTCACTCTGCAAACTGCTCGCCGTCAATGCAACGATGATAACGGGACTTTTAAAGGCCTCTGGATTTTCCAACTTATCTTCCGGCCTCAGGGTTTCATGACATCTGTTATCTTTGCCTTCGACCGGCGAGCTCGGTGTTGAGGAAGATGTTGAACCCTTTGCCGACTGGCCAGAAACAGTCCTCGAGAATACTCCGATGTTGTTGAGTCGTTCATAGCGCCGTATTTCCTTGGTAGCTTCAAGACCGCTCAAGACCGGAAGTTGGATATCCATCAGGACTAAATGGAACCCGCCGGCTCGCCATTTGTTAACAGCTTCCCGACCATTCATTGCGGTCGACCACCGCACTTTAAGTCGTTTCATGAATGCTTCGAGAAGCCTGAGGTTGATAATGTTGTCCTCCACAATTAATACATTAATGGGAGGGACAGTGCCATCTAGCAGGCTCCCAGGGAGGGAACCATTGTTGCTGCGGGTTTTGGACTTTCGTGATTTTTGAGTTGGGCGAGGGGAAGACGTGCGAACTGGTGGTGAGGTAGTTGTTTTCTGGGGTTGCTCGGGTGAGGGAGCTGGAGGGGTTGACATAGATGGAGGTTGAGAAACAGGAGAGGCTCCATTTATTGGGGCATTGTTAGGATCTATAAAATCAGAGACAACGCAAAAAGTAACAAAATGGAGCAAGTTAGCAATCAGAAAAGAAAGAAAAAACAACAGTTTAATGAAGCCAGCTAGTCGATGAGGTAGGGGGGTTCTGGACGATACCGAGAAGTAGCAGACGTACCTGCCATGTTTTGATTCGGAGACGTAGAAACGACGGTAGGTGAAGATGTATGCTGGCGGCCGTATTTAGGACGAGATTGAAGTTGATGCTGGTGCCAGGAGCCACGACTCCCCGGCGAAGGAACGGGAGGAAGTTGTCCGGTTGTGATCACGGACATGGAATGAGCGGGAGCATGGTGAGAGCTAGTTGCGCTGGCATTTGAAACGGAGCCAGAAGCATTGGACTGAGGAATCATAGCCATTGGAGGGAAATACTCTCCGGATTCTCCTGGGTGTAGCTCTTCTGAATGGCAGTAGCCAGGGTTATGTTGTCGGGGGGAGGGTTTTGGTGTTCGGCGTTGGGGAACTTCAATGATCAATGCTTCATCCACGGTCTGTCCGCTAGGGTAAAAGGTATCCAAAGTGCGACCCACAGGTTCCTCCGGGCCAAGGACTCGCTCATGGGAGCTCTGTCGACTCGAAGGGTCTCGCGGAATGAGTTTTATAGTGATATCTGGGGGATCGAAGGTGCGGCCAAGGGAATTGTTGTATTTTTTCAAGATAACATCGCGCAGATCATCCACCAGATCTTCCTCTGTGACCGCAACCAGGGTAGGGGATGAATTGGGCCGCTTAACCCATACCTTTCGGCTGATCATGTCGCGGTGGATGGAGGGGAGGCCGCTGGAGAAGTAATCCCCACCGGCCGACGAAGAGGGTTCAAGGAGTGTGCTGATTAGGCGTTGCTGGGAAGAGGGGACCAGGGACTGGCGACGGACAGCAATGCTGGGGCGGGAAACCGGTTTTGAAGTAGGGGTGAGTTTGGCAGATGCGCTAGTAGTCGATAATGGGGTATTGGATCTGCGAGACTCATCAACTATGTTCAGAGACGACGAGGTGGATGTTACCGAGGAGCGAGGGTGGGGTGGACGAGGAGATCGGAAGTGGGAGCCTTTGTCCTTCGAGGAGGCCCTGGAGAGGGAGTATGCTTCCAATGGACGAAGTGGCAGGCGGTCTTCTGTTGAGTCTGGAGCCCGCGAGCTGCTCGACGAAGAGCGGGCAGACGAATCTGCGTCGAGTCCCCCTTCTCTGGCAGTGTTATACTGGAAACTGACAGCTGGGAATTGGTCGACGTGCTCGGCTATCTCTTCGTTGTCTCTAGACTTCGTAGGTAAGGGGTGCTGTTCATTGGCCTTGGCTGAATCGATTGCGGCTGCTTGATCCCTACTGTGCAGTCTCCTTGCAGTTAACGGGGAGAGGCGGTTGGAGTTATCATCTGTTGGGCTGATGGGCGAGGAGCAGGACGAGGCAGAGAAGCGACAATTTATGGCGGCGGTAGGTCCAGAGGAAGGAGAAGCACCGACTGCAGCAGCATGGACATTGGGGTTGACATTGATCGCTGTGGTGGTGCTGGTGTTGCTGGTGTTGCTGGTGGTGGTGCTGGCGGTGGTGCTGGCTGTGGTGCTGGGGCTGGGCAAGTTGGGCACAACAAAGTTTGCGGAAGACGAGGAAGGCCGACGGAGTAGTTTGGCTGTCAACCGCGACAGTCGACGCTCTCGATCCATGGGCGCGGTATCAGCTACCCGCAGCAGACAGCTGGGACCTCGCTGGCAGACACGGCAGCCGGCTGGGTTCCTTTAGCACATCGTAAGTACGTCTGTATGTCTGTATGTCTGTATAGATGTCTGTGTGTATGTCTATATGTGAACCTCCAGATGTTTACAACGTGGGGGAGAGAAGAAGGGTTTGTGAGAATCGCGGGATTTCGTCCCGTCAGGGCTTAGCAGCCGGACAGGGTCAGAGCAGTTCTCGCAGAGGGCAAGCTAACTTGGCTAAGGGGAGCCATCGCATCGACTAGCCCCAGAGCTAGCGATGGTGGAGATGCTCGAAATGGTGTCGAGCGGCGTTCAAGCGGACAGAAGATGGTCAGGCACCTCGAGACACAGCGCCGACTCGGTCACGGGCAGCAGCGTCGCGTGGCCACCTCTCCAATAGCTGGTTACTCCGTGCTGTTTATTGAATGAATATTGAATGGATATTGGAGTCCAGGGCAGGCAGAGAGCGAAACTGCTGTGCGTGTGTCCGCGATGCTACTTCTACTGCTGTGGGGAGTTGGAACTATACAAAGGCAACTCCCACACAGCTGAGATGAAGTTACAGAGAGAGATATTTGTAGATGGTTACGCTCTATTCATATGCCATTGCTAACTAGTTATTGAATACTAGTACCAAATGAACACCCATTGGCGATCAACAGACAGACACAGGCAGAGAAACAGAAGCTCGTATATCACAAGCACTGCGCAGCCGGGCGTATATCTACTAGCACTAGTAGTTATCTACTCTGTATAGCTAGCTAGCTGCCTCAGGGGCTATGCACCAATCCTGCTGCACCGATATTCCTGTCCTCTCTCTCTCTCTATTGCCTTCATCCTATGCCATTCGATATATATAAATGGGCCAAATAACTTCCAGATCCTCCTCTCCGAGAAGTTACATGTATTTACTGTACATCTGTACATTATCTAACTATATCAAATGGATGCATGACCCAACTAGTCAAGAAGCATGAATCCATGCCCCCCCGGTCTTGAGAAACACAGCTACAGCCATTCTTTTGATGATTGATGGATTATGAGATTATTCCCCCGCCTCTCTCCCCGCTCCTCCTAGGATGTTTACTACTGCTGTCTTTGCCCATCACACCGTGACTGCATCAATCTCCCCAACTAGCTACGAGTAGTTAAAAATTACTCTTTGTCCGAGCTGCGAGCTGCCCAATAATGATAGCTGGATAGCTAGTTATGCATAATAGATAACGACGAGGGCGGGGGAGAAAATGGATTGAATAAATGAATGAAATAAAGGTTATACTGTGCAATGCAGCAATAACATGGTTTGCCTAGTAGTCATTGATTATCAAACAGTAGTAGAAAGCAGTTTTATATTTTCTAAAAGGAAAGATTGCATAGATCATTCGCATATCTTTTTTTTTTTCGTCTTTCCATCTTTTTATTTTTCATGTTCATTTTCTCCGTTTCCTCTTCATCCATCCTCCTTCCCATTGGGTTGGCCGTTCTGCTGTGTGTGTGCGTGCTTGAGAGGCTCCTGGCCTTCAGTTTCATGGAAAGAATGGAAAACCAACGTCGAAAATAACACCAAGCCATCGACTGCTCTTAAAATTAGACAATGTCTGTTTGTGTTTCCATCTGTTGTGGGAAACTGCCCCTTTTTCTTTGCAGTGCGACCTCTATAAGGAATGCATCAGTCCAATATCTAAACATGACCCTCGCTGCATTTGCTATATATATATATATTCATTCTGTGTCAACTTTAACATACTTTCCCATCAACGCTGGCCTCTCCTCCGCTTACTCTGCCCTCAAGATTTACATTCGGCACAGCGTATGGCGGCGGCGACTTGCGAGTGCAGTCGTCGGGGGAACATCTAAGTTCACAGTGTGCAGAACTACTGTTATTGCTGCTGATGCTGCTGCTGTTGTTGTTGCCCCCATTCCTTTCCAGACGCATGAACTCATCAAAACTCATGCCATGCGCTTTCGCTGCCTGACACAGCTCCCAGAAGCGGAGTTTCCAGATGATGTGGCTGATAAAGATTCCGAGTTCGAGGACGAGGCTATGGATTGGTTTCAGCAGAGGTGTTTTACATGCATATATTTTTATACCGTAGGAAAAAAAAAGGCTGGCTCTTGGATAAAGGGAAATTTTTCTTACACTAGAATATAGGCGGTGCCGCCTATGATGCTAAAAGTTCCTTCAACGGCTGAGATGGAATGCATTGTCAGCATTAATTGATCCGCAATTTCGTCCCCAACTCCGTGCCCTTTTTCGCCTGCGAACTAGAAATCCGGGAGGATTCGCGATAGAAGGAGGAATTCAAGAGGATGGACAGACCTAGAGCAAGCAGAGAGAAGAGCGCACCGAGAGCATCCATGGAGAGAAAGATCCAGCCTGTACACAGCAGAGAGCCAATGAGAAACTTGCTGAAATACTAATGGACCGGAAGGGGAGGCCATTGCAAGGGAGGAAAAGGAGTGAAGGCGGGCAGGGAGAACGAACTGATCCCAACAACTCGGCCCTGTCTCTTCCAGAGCTCGTTATAGATGGGAATGAGCCCTATTATGATAAAGACCATGGCAAGAACACCGAATAAAATGGCGGGCCAAGTAACACCCTTATTATACGGAACCTGGATATATATGCATGCACGACGACGGGTCCAGTTAGCACTCCTTGTCCTCGTCGCCGAAAAGAGGATCGAACATATTTTTTGACACAAAACAACATACCTGGAATGTAACAATAAATAGTGTTTCAGAACCGCCCAAAAACGCCGCAGACATCACACCAGCTACGATCGCTTCCCCCGAAGTGTAGCCGCTATAATTTTGAAGACATCTTAGAGATAGGTGCTAGGGTGGTGGTATATTGCGCTGGTGTTGGCTGGAAACAGGGGGCTCAATCTGACATACTGGCTATAGTACAAAACTTGTGCCCAGCAGATTGCACACAGGGCGCCGAACATCTGTGGCTGGATTTGTAGGGGAATATTCACTTGCTATAGTATAATGTTAGATAAATTTTCCTTATTCTTTTCTTTTTTTTCTCCTCCCCTCTTGTTTGGACTTCTCTTCTTTTTGCGGTGACAATCTGACCCGTAAAGATTCTTACCTCTAAAACCAAATATATACCCAAACATACAGCACCTGGCCATGTTTTGAGGAATATCAGCAAAACCCAAACCCATTCATTTACCCCTCCCTCTTCTTTCCTTTAGCTCCCAACCTTTACACCCCTTGCCACGATATCAACGCAAGATGGTGCCATTCGATAATTCAATATTGAAGACATCAGGAGAAGAGCACGTACTTAAAGCCCATATAAACATCATGCTTGCGGGCAACCCTTCGGTATTTTTCTTTGTCCAGTTGTACCATATCTGAGGTATGAGTTGGATGCTCCAAAGCGCAGTGCCGATGGTTCCAAGAACATCGGCCGCAGTGGGGATTTTTCCATCTTCCGCCACCATCTGCATGATTCTTAAGGCCGTTAGAAAACGAAGGTCAAAAAATCCCGGCTTGTATTCTGTTCCCTGTTGAATGCGCAGTGGCAAAGGCCTTTTCGGTTCTTCGGCAACGCAAACACGTTAGAAACGAGCTCAGGTATGAAAAATCCCAATATAATCGGAATATACATATATCGACCCCGCCCTGGGGTTGGCCTGCAGATAAACAAAAGCAAAGGCCGCGCTTTTGGAAGTGATGCTGAAACGCTCTGTTCCATTGAGCTCCGTGACGTCAAAGATGGGATAGTGCCAGCCAATAACAGAGAAAAGACTGATGTGGCTTCTGTGCATCGGGTGAAAGTGTGGTATGGATATATATAGCTGCCATTGTTGAATTTAAAAGTTCTCCCATGGAGCGCCCAGCGCTAGCAGGAGATCGAGAGGGAAAAAAGGCCTCCGAAGGAGAGGGGGCGTTGATGAGAAATTTATTTATATATACATATATATAAAGATCATATTTTTTCGACTTTCATCAACCATTTCCATCATGGATTCTCAAAGGATCATTCTTCCCCGCCTTGGATGGAAAAATTGGTAACTCCCAAAGGTACCAGTATTCAGCCAGCACTGTGACGATAACACTATTCGACGAAAGAGGCGGAAACCGACAAGACAACGTAGCTTTTGAGCACCAGAGAAAACATTGGAAGGCCGAGAAATGAAACGGACGAGCAAGAAGCAAGAAGAAAAGATCACGGTTTGCAGAAGCCTGGAACCTATAATCCACCAAATTTACCGCCAACAACGCTGTTCATTTGATGAGCAAGGTTTCATCACACAATTGATCATTGTGATGTATGTAATAGCAAGCGTAGAGTAGTAGCTGATCCATGGGTTATAAAAAGCCCCGCAATTCCTCTCTCTCACTGTGAAATGAGTTTCGAGCTCCAAACTTGAACAAATATTCTGTTGCAGCTGGTCTGAGAACGGCGTTGTTGGTGGCCCAGAAGGATATGATGACTAACGACTTGTAGTTCTCACCTCCACGTTTACAACCTTTTTATAGAGAACAAGCTGGTGATCGCTTTGAATTCACACTCTGAACTTGTCTGGGCTCTGCCACTGGTCCTTTCATGGTTGCTTGTGCATATCTCCCATCCCCATGTTTTGTGTCCAGCATGTTGCTGATTTTGCTGATTCTCGACCCGACTAACTTCCATACAGGGTATATATAACATTTATTATTCCTGATGCACAGGTATCAACAGCTTACTCTGCCCTTCTTGATGCCGGCTTTCGCCGATGTACAAATAAATCAAGCTGCTGCATGGTAACCACCAGGCTGCGGGGTCCTCCTCCAACTGCGAATTTTACACCTAGATGACTTCCGCCCGTTATCACTTTACAGAAACTCGGAAATACTCTGGACGTTCCCAAGCTTTGAGTCGACGTTCTTGGATACCAATGACCGGGATTCTCTTCTTGCGTCGTTCTTCGACCCACAACTTTATCTCCATTCCGCTTCCTGACTGCTTCCAGAAATGCCGAGTCCACGATCCTGTTACTTGCTCGCCAATCGGGGCAGTGCCCCCGAATCGTGGTTGATGGCTCGGCTGTCATATGTCATGGAATATATCGGGGGACAAATCTTTTTAAGGAACAAGACTTGCAGCCCGCCGCAGAGGGTACTACAGTGCATCAACGTTTGGTGGCCCAGAAATGTGGTCGTGGGTGATGAAGGAAAAACTTTCGTGAATAACCGTTGCAAAAACAAATCGTCTAAACAGTGGAATGTTGCCCGTTCCCGATTCACCACAGCTACAAAAAGCTTTACTCCATTTTCATCAGATCCTGACTGACTACCTTCTCCCCATCATAGTCTTTCGACTGGGGGATATAGTAGCCTGGTCGATTGGCCACCACCCTCTTCCCAGTTTCTGCGTCCTCGAAGTCACAGTCGGAAGCGGGTATGTCCGAAAGCCCAGAGCTTTTACATTTGGGTTTCTCCAGCACGTCTCATTCGACAGGTCAGTCATGAAGCCGGACGAGAGATTGCTGTTTGCATGGACAGTGTTGACCACCAACCAGGGGTTCGGTGAGTCACGACAAACCCCGTGTCATTTTCATCAATATCGAATACGCGGGCTGCTGAAGACTTCTACAACGGCCTTGTTCAAGCCCAGACCCCTGAGAAGCGACCATCGGATCAACGCCGAGGATGTTGACCATCATTGTAGCAATTACTATGCTCTGATGCTCTGACCAAGGTTAAAAGCCTATGGCGATATATCCACGGGGATCAAAAAAAAAAAAAACAACTTCCAGAGTTGTGTGGGTTGATGATGGATCTACCTAATCTCAGCTGGTGTTACTTACTCTGTAGGAGAAGATGAACCCCTCGGCTCGTCTCCTCGTTACAAGGCCCCGCGTAGCTTTGCGATTTCATCGATGAGCGTCTGATTGCATTGCTTTTGTCAACCAGAGCGTAGAAGCAGCAAGAACTTGTTCGTCTCATGCCCATTGGCGCCCAGATGGAGGTTCTTTGTTTACAGTAAATAGAATAACTAGTATTTATTTTATTTTATTTTATTTTATTTTATTTATTTAAACCCATCAATCGGGCCTTGTGAAGGCGTTTAAAAAAATCCTAGTTAGTGTTTATTTGTCTATTGTGCCGGGGCATCTCATCTTCCGTGCATCGTTCGGAACCCATCTTTCTTCTGGTTTTATTATATACCCTGGACTGGAGCGCCTCCAATTCTGAAAGCACTTAGGTTAGTTAGGTGAACATTGCGTATATTGATGTAGCTATGTTATTTATTTTCTCCTCTTCCATAACTATATATATCGTCAACGCGGAAAACCGACAGAGCTATGGTGAGTGACTCCAATGTCGTTTCCACAGCTTTTTTGTTATCCAGGTGAGTAAATATATAGATATATATATATATATATGTATCAAAGGCAAGAAAGAAGGGAGTTTTTGCCATATTTAACTATCATAGCAACTAATAGCAGTAACTAAATAAATAAAATAATAAATAGTAAAAATACGAACCAACATCATCATTTATCATCATGACAAAAGAAAACCACAAGGTACGATCACGATCACGATTCGCTGCTTTTTTAAGTTTTATTCTTTATTTCTTTCTTCCCTTCCCCCCCCCCCCCCTCTTTCTTTTAAGCGGAGGGGGGGAATCGCAGCATCATTTGGCGTTCAAAGAAATAGAAAAACAGAAATGAAGAAAAATTGGAAAGGATAGCATCCAGTGAGTTGAGCAAAGGACAACCCTTGAAGTAAGAGCTAGTGACAGTATCGAATTGAGGAGGGAAAACGACAGGAAGGAAGAGAGAGAAAGAAAGCAGAGGAATGAGGGTATCATGAGAAAATGAGGTGGGGGTGAGGGGAAGAGAAAGAATTACAATGGAGGGAGGGGGAGATATCATTTTTGTTTTTCTTTTTTTTTTCTCCACTGAAACTGACGATTGGGGGGAAAAATGAATGACAATGATGGGAGAGACAACATTCAATCAATTGGCTTGACATGTCAACGTTTCTTTCTCTTTCTCTTTCTCTTTCTCTTTCTCTTCCTTGCTTTCCCTTTCCTTGTTTATCGCGCTGGCACGGGTGGAAGGAGAGAAAGAAGAGAAAGAGTTGTGGAATAAATGAGGGGGTTGTTCTGTTATGTGGGCTACGGTCATCTGGTGTTTGTTGGATATGGGTATGAGAAACAAGGGGAGGGAGGGAGGGAGAGAGTGAGCGAGATACATACACGTGAGACTGCATACACATACAACATACAAAAGAGAGCATAGTCATGCCACTGGAAAGGGAGGGAGAGAGAGTCAAAAAGAGAAGTTGAAGAAAAGATGGTAAGAAATGAAAATCATATATCCCTCTCCCTCCCCCAAAATAAAACCTTTTTTTTCCATGAAAACGAACAAACGAAAAAAAAAAAAAAAAAGCTTAGAATGAAGAATGACAGGTACAAACAAAAGAAAACATCAGATGAATAATAAAAAAATAATATCGAATCGAATCGAATTGAATTGAGTACAAATAAAAATCGAAAATGGAAAATGGAAAATTGCAAGAAAATAACTAAAGCATAAAAAGAACAAAGGAACCTATATCAGAATAAGGTAATTCGACGGCGCAATCCCCGTCTCCCCGCTCGCTTTCTTTGCCTGCCACCACCGCCCGCTCACATCTGACACATCAAGAATCTCATGCTTTGAGAAACTAATCTCATTCGCGTCGTCCGGGTTCGCTTCGTACGAGTATATGGCCTTGGCGCGGTACGGGTACACGGTTGGCTGGCTAACTTCGTTAGGAGTCGATGGGTGGTCGGCACCAAGAGTACTTCCACCGCCAAGATTACTCTGCGAGCCAATGGCGGGTCCGACAAAGCGGTTTTGGGTGCCATTTTCAGCGCCGTTGGCAGCGGTCGGGGGGTAGCCGGACACAGGGGAGGAGGTTTCGAAGCCGTTGAGTTGGGCAGAGGTATACATCTGGGGGGGTTGGTTACCAGAGACAACCGTCTCTGGCCGCGCACCGTAGTTGGTGGACAGGGGCTTGCTGTTGCGATAGGAGGGGTGTTCCTTGCCGGCACCCATCGAGTCAAGGTAAGGACGGGATGAAGTCTGGCTGGAGGATCCGAAGTAGAATATCCAGACGATCTGTGTGGATTACTTGCGTGTTAGGGATGGCGATACTATTTGGAATAATAAAGTACATGAGGGGATGAACTAAAGAAATGGTATGTACGTACAGTAACCATGGATTGGAGAATGAATCCCGCAGCACCAGCCTGCTTGGAGGCCTGATCGTCATAGATCAGCGAATTGACGGCAAGCGTTGTAAAAGTCAAGCCCGCAGCGAGATAACCGACGATCTAGTAGATTCGACAATGCATTATTAGCTGGCATCCGGCATAGGAAGAGGAGTGAGTGGTGGGCAAGAGGGGTCAATACCGCGACACCGTAAACATGGCTTGTTTGAGACGCCAGGACCAAGGAAATACCGATGATAGCACAGAGCATATACCCAACGGCCCACCATGCGAAGTTAGGGAAAGCGCCTTGGATATCTGAGATCACACACGTGGCGAAGGATAATAGCCATGCTATCTACGTTTTCGACGAGAAACGAGTCGTTAGCATTTCGAATCCAAATCCAACTGACACTGGAAAGACTTATCATCCTCCTACGAACACCCCAAGGGAAAAGAAGCCGAGAGCAGCTGGAGGATAACAAGAGGGGTAGAAAAAAAAAACAAAACAAAAAAAACAGAGAGGCAACAATACCAGGGATGTTGAAATCGTTATCAGGGCGAAGGGATCGCCAACAATATTATTGAAATCCATGCGAGCCATGTTGGATCGCCGATTGTGGACAGCAAACGGGGACCGTTTCTGAAAGGAAGTCGAGTAGTTCGCGGAGTAGGTTACCATGCAAGGACGAGAACCGCCTGCTGGTGGTATGATAAAACAAATTTCAATAACAAGAACCCAAGCCCAAGTGTGGATTTTCGTGCCAATGGAGGAGAATGGGTGGTGGATAAGGGAGCGTTGAACGAGGCTAGGAGTTTGAAGAATTCCACACAGGACAAGGTTATTCGATCGATCACAGGGAGGGAAAGGAATACGTGATCGAGGGTGTCGAGGGGGAAGAAAGGGCAAAATGCAATGCGATGATGAAATGGTTGGTGTAGTGATCGATTGCTATCGTATGTTCTGTTCCTCTACGGAGTACTTCCTCTCTATTTCCTGAGTTGTGATTGTGGTGGTGGTGTCGCGCGAGGTCGTGCGAAGGGGCAGTATAAAGAGGTACGATCAGGGCTGTGTTTATGTTATGGAACGATGACCCGAGCGGGCTGTCCCAAGGATTAGCTGAAGGACGGGGGACGAATGACAGCCACGAAACGGTTTGTGGTTCACAAATTCACCAATCCACGATGCGACCACGATGGAAGGTTTGTTATGTTTGGAGGGCGAAGACGACTAAGAAGACTGAGTTATGGGCGTATACAGAGTGGTTGGATATTCAGTGGATGAGATGGATTTGTCGTGGGAAAAGAGGATGGCCTCAAAGGGGGTTGGAGTGGGGGCGGGAAGGCCAACCGCTGGGAGAGAAGAGGAGGTGTTGAAAGAAAGGTCAAGCACCAGGCTCGCGGGAGAAGGGAACGGAAGCAGAGAAGAGGAGAAGAAAAAGAAGAAGGAGAAGAAGAAGAAGAAGCAAACAAGGGTCTACAAAAGAGTGAATAAGCAAGCAGCAGAGGGATTGCCAGACCAAGAAGAGAAGCGAAGGAATGAAGCGGCCCAGAGAAGAGGATGGCGAGATGCAGCGATGCAGCAGCAGAGGAGTTGGTGGAGTTGAGGATTGTGGAGGAGGAGGAGAGAAGGAGAGAGTCGGTAGTGGGTGGCAGAGGGCAGTTGATGGGGGACTTGGGGAACCCAATCGACAGGAATGGGCGACGGGGAAATTGGCAGATTCGCTGGGCACGACAAACCAAGGCCCGGACTGGGGACTGGGGACGGGGGACGGGGAACAACTGGGTTCCTGGGCCTGGCTGCGGGTCTGGGCTCGCCAGCTTGTCCAGCCATTTACGATGCTTATGACTATTCATTTATTATTGATAAGACGACATGACATGGGATGGCACTCATCCATCTCTCGGGCGCTGGAAAACATTACACACACAAGTCATCATCATCAGTCACTCAACCCCGGAGTCTACATCTGATAGAGAATGTCGCCAGGGTGAGTGAGTGAGTGGCCGCCGTTTGTCTGTCTCCTCCAACCTGGTCTCGGCTCGTTTCACATGTCGCCCTCCCTCCCTATTTCCCTATTCGCGTCGTCTGCCCAGCGCCTCTCAGCAAGTTTCCGAGCGATGGACACACACACACACACACACAGGTACGTGGTGAACAGGAAGGAAACTAGGCTAGGAATTCTGATATCGACATAAAACTGGCAGAGAGAGAGGGGGGATCTACAACAGGGAAATGGACAACCAACTATGCAGTACATTATTATTATTATTCTTTTTAACCTTTTTATTTTTTAAACTGTTCGATCTGTGGTTCCACTCGAGTCTGGACAGCCAACCACCCCTGAAGCAACCAAAACCATTCTTCCTGTGGAATGGATGGAGATACCTGGGTGTGTATGTGTTATATATATATATATGCTTTGTAGAGATGCACCCAGTGGTCCAAGTGGGTGAGTGACTACAGCAGTGCCCCTCCTCTCTGGTTCAGTTTTCGATAGGGCCGATGCGATGCGATGCACTGATCGCCGTCGATGATGCGAGGCGCATAACTTTCCATTTATGTATGTACTGTACCTGAGAGGTCGAACAGTTCTCTCCAGTTAAACTGAAAAGATAAACCTTCTTCTTATTTCTTGTTATTCCTTCGAACGGCAAAAAAGGAATATATAACCTTCCTTCGATATATATATATATGTTGTGTGGTGCGGGATGATATTTCAACAACGCGCGGCAACGCTGAGAGAACCCTAGTGCGTCAACGCGATAAATACTATGTGAGATATCCCCTCCAAAATTAGGCACAGGGTTGAAACTAAACTTGGTGGCGGTAGGGCTACCTTCGTCCAAGATTCCAAGGTTCCTCTTAATGTGCCGAATCAGGGATTAGGAAAAACAATAAAATAAGGGAAATAGGGAAATAAATAAATAGATAAATAAATAAACATCTGCCAGGTTCTATTCTTCAAAACAAGTATTCCGTCCCGGGACAATTTTTTAAAAAAAATAATAAGACAGACAGACAGACAGACAGACAGCCAGCCAGCCTTACGCTGTGTATTAGGGAAAAAAGTCGCATGGATGATTGATTAGTTATAGGTGGGTTGGGTTACAGTGTGTTTGAACCCAATCCTCACAATAACCAGGTTATATGTGGAGGTGCAGTCACTCAGCCATCAACATCACTGTATATAATCTGGTTATTGCTGATGTGTGTTCAATTTCATATTCATACATACAGAATACTTGTATTTAGTAAGAGAAATACTATTAAATTCAGATATATGTGACTTTGTACACAGAAAGTTATATAATTACTAGTTAAATAATCTACTTGATTCA